CACTGCCTGGTGAGGGGTAGGGCTGGGGAGGGGGGCAGCTACACATGTCAGCGGGGTCGGTGACGTCCATGCCCTCACGGCGGGGTCACGGCCCCCCTCAGCAATGCGTGAGACCTCAGGCGGTATCAAGCTTGACGGTACGACAGAAGTTGGGACGCCCACGGCTCGATTGTCACGATGTTCCGTCAAAAGAACAACTGGAGCTGATGTATGCGGGATGCCACTGCATCCGAAGGCCTGGAATGCACAGGCGTGGTTCTATACGCTGGAAACATTCTCATGGGGGCAACTTGCGAGCTTCGAACGGCCAAGAACGCCTTCTGGCCATGAAGGAGGCGACGAAAACGGCTTATTCTTTGCGGGGTTTGTCTCCGGTCTTTCTTTTCTCGCCATTTTTCTGCCGACGGTACGTGAGAAGTGGCGCAGTAAGAGCTTCAGATGGAACAGAGGTTGAGACGCCCACGGCTCGATGTCAGATGTTCACGTCAAAAGCGACTGGACCGATGCACACTGGATGCCACAACGTCTTGCATTCTCACCAACGGGAGAACTATACTTGCGAGTTTGGACGGAATCTGGAGAACGGCCAAGAACGCCTTCATGGCCTATCACCTACGAATGCCTCAATGCATGCAGTGCCACTGTCTGCACTCACTAACACGCAGCACACATACATTTCTAGCAGCCAGCCCAGCCACCTTTCCCCCTTGTTTCTCTCCTCCGTCTGCCCTGGTTGGTGCAGAGAGTGCATCACCACCCCAGGCTGGCAGCCGGAGGGAATACGAGGGCGGTACGGGCCTTGGGGTCAAGACTGTACACACGGCGGAATACCGTCGCCCACGTGTGGCCCATCACCTCTACACCATACCAACAGTCACACACAACACATCTCCACAAACACACGCACACACGCATACGGCCACTCGCTTGTCACTCTCTGTGCCGCAAATTACCTGGGCTGTCGAGTGTGCCTATGCACTGCTTGGACACGGCCGTGGCGTTGAAGCGCCTGAAGCCGTCGCGCACAAAAGGGGCGTCGGACGGGTCGGCCTTGTCGAAAAGCAGCGGCTGGCCCCACGTCAGCCGCAGGTTGCCATTCAGGGGAGAATCCCGGGGGCCCAACACCATGTACTCCTGGCAGAGAGACAGACAGACAGACAGACAGGTGGGTTTTGTTTCCATCATTGATTGCGCGTTGCTTGTGACCAGCCCACCTTACCTGTACAGATGGGTGTTTGCGGAAGTGGAAGGTCCAATCGCGGCCGGGCGGCATCCCCACACACAAGGCGTAACTGCACATACGCAGGGACCCAGGCAGGCAGGCAGGCAGGCAGCAGCCACAAGGCGGATGGACAGGTCACCATACTCTTGTGTGTATATGCACACGCGCGGCTCACTTTGGTTGGTGCCTGTGCAATGCGTCCGACAGCTTGGCGTCCTCGTCGTACGGGAAACGAACACAACCTGGACAAAAGCATACATACATACACACATGGATAGACAGCACGAGGGAGCGCCGAATGCTCTAGCAGACTGATGCATCATTCACTCACCAGTGGCAGAGTCGATGAGGGTCTCAGAGCTGTCTTCACATGCCGGCTCCACTGGCAGTGGGGGCGTGGTCGTGCTCTTGTCAGCTGCACGTGCCAGCGCTTCATCATCCCATGCGCTGCGACGCACTGAGTTGACGATCCGCTCTGGCCTGAAACACAATACATCCACTCCACGCATCTCATCCTTGCACCGCACCCACCCGGCCTGATGCCTTTCATTCTACCTGACCTGACAGCCACTGAGATGAAGTTGACTTGTGGCACCTGATCGGCACTGTCGGCCTTGTCAGCCGACGGACGAAACACACGCCGCCGCCTGCCGCCTCTCGACGGCAGTGTGGTGTCACCTGCTGGTCCGGGGGAGGCTGGTGCGTCGCCCTCCCAGTCGAACTGCACTGAGCTGTGGTCACGGGCGGTGCGCCGGGACGACTTGCGGAGGGACTGGTGGTGGACAGAAGAACCCATACATACATACATACATGTGCGCGTGTATGTATGGGGTGCCGGACGGGTGTGTGATGACCTATACCTGCCAGAGCTGCCGTAAATAGAATGCGAGTCTCGAGGCACCGACACCCACCACCATCACCGTCACCTGAGGACACAACTCTTCTTGCATGTCGATGGGGCCCCACAAGACACGACACCCATGGTTGCTCACCGGTCCGTCGGGCACCGTGGGCTTGTCCACATGGTGGCCGTCATCTGGCCCATACTCCATGTCCATCAGTGCGGGGTCGGCCCCATTGGGCGACCACAGCGCTAGAAGGTACTTGGCCAGGGACATGAGGAGCTCCTGTGTGATGGCCACGCACAGGGGCGCGCTGTAGGCCCCACCCGTGGCGCCTGTGCCGCTGTGTGGTCTTGGCGAGCCCTCGCCCCAGAACCGCTGGGCCGTCTCGTCCGACAGGCATGTCAGCTCCTGATCAACAGACGACCGGATGGATGAGGAAGTAGGTCAGTGAGTGCGATGCTGTTGGTGTACCGTACCAGGTAGGCAGTGAAGCGACGGTGTTTCAGGGGAGTGGTAGACAGCTGCAAGCAGGTGAAGGAGACAGCTCTTGTTTGTCATTACTTCCCTCCTTGTGGTGGGTGTGCGTGTGCATACCATTTGCTCGACCGCCTTCCACGTCGGCAGATTGCGGTCATCATCCCGCAGGTCCAACACATACGGCCTGCCGCCAACATACACCAAACCACACCACGCACAATGCGTGCATTGCTGTGGTCTGCTGCCCTTGTCTGTCATTTCCTTGCCTTCCTCCCTCACTTGTTCTGCAGCAGTTTGAATTGCCAGTAAATGATGGGTGTGGGGCTGAGGGGGTTGGGGCTGCTGCGGTGCCGCGGCAGACCAAACGCTTCACGCACGTCACACCCACGGGGCGGCAGGTGAAGACTACCCAACAACGCCTACACCAACAAACCAACACACAAAATCACAATCGCCCAGACCGTTCGTGTGGTTGCCTCCCTCCCTCCCACCCTCTGCATGGCCTCATTCCCTCTGTGTTCCAGCTGTGTCTGTCGCGCCCTGAGTGCAGGAGCGTGGTGGTGCATGGCGAGGAGGAACAGCTTCTCAGACACCTTGAGCAGGAAAAGCAGCAGGTCCCGGTGCAGCCGCCGCTTGGCGGAGCCGTCGTCCTGCTTCTCGAACCGCCAGTACTGACCGAAGAACTGCATGGCCTTGCTGCGCACTCGATCAAACACCCACTGGTGGCTCAGCAGGTCGAACGACGTCACCACGTCGTAACCCTTCCTGCACAACACACGAACGCACAGACACACGGACTCCCAGCGAGATGCCCCCTTACTTACCCTCGCTGCAGCGGTCCCTTCTTGTGTTGGAGGATTGCAAAGAACACGGAGGCTGCGTGAGGGTAGGGTGGCGGTTTGTAGAGTGGCGACTCGTCGTCCTCGCCGTGCCATCCGGAAAGGTTGGCCACATGCCTGGCGTGGGCATCCGTGTCGCGCCGGTCCACCACCAAAATGTCGATGGGCTTCACACCCGTGAAGTCTATCGGTAGCATCTCCTCCACCTGTGGGCACACACCACAAACCACAAAACAACACACACAAGTGATGGGATGGGATGGATGCATCAGGTTGGTCCACCTGGCTGACCATGAGAGGTATCCGTCTTGCGAGTGGGAGTTTCTCATCCTCCGCCACCTCCTCGACGGCCTCGGACAGCAGCCGCTCCATCGCATCCTTATAGTGGCCCTCGGGCATCAACACAGGAGCGTCACACCTCGCTGCCGGGAGCACCACCTCGCCACCGCCACCCCCACTCCCATAGTCGACCCCCCTCCTCTTGAACATCATCCCCCGCCGCCGTCCACTCGTGGCCGGGCCGTCTATCCTCTCCTGAACCTCCCGGCTCTTCTCGATCTGCCGCCGCCCCTCGGCGCTAAACAGCATCTGGCGGTGCGCCACTGCCTCCCGGTACTCCTCCTGCAACGATCGCAAAGCCGGCTGGCACTGCGTCGCGAGCGACTGGGCGACGGGAGTGGACCGCTGTGCATGGGCGAGGCAGTACTGGAGGCCCTGGAACCTCTCCTCGAGTGTCATGTGTGGGCTGTGCAGCAGCTGCCGCATCGTCTGCACCAGCTGATGGGGCGTGCGGTACTTGACCACATCCAGAGGGTTGCCGCCGGGGAAAGGGGCGCCGCGTTTTGCAGACAAGTGGGCGGCCTGCGATGAATCATCTGGAAGTACAGCTGCCGGCTGAGTGGCGATGCTTCGTCGTCTGGACTGCTGCGGTCTTGTGATGATGCATGCTGGTGCTGCGGCCGTGCGAGTGAAGGAGGCGGGAAGGAGGCGCACGCTGCGGGACAGATCCATAGATCATCGATGACTCATCCAAGCAGATTGAGTAGATCCGCGCTATGTCGGTCCTCTTCGTCCCTATCTGGGCCCTTTCCCCCTCGGAAAAAGGGAAAAGGGGGGAAAATGAAGCTTAGCTCGCAAATGTGGCAATCTTCCCCCTCGAGGAGCAGGAGCATATTGGGAGCAGCGTCAGCTAAGGCGAGTGAGCAAGGCAGGATGACGCCATAAGAGCTGCGTTCAGCGATGAAGATCCTGGTGCTGGGTGGCAACGGGTTTGTGGGCTCACAGATCTGCCGCAAGGCCATCGAAAGAGGCATCGAAGTCGTCAGCCTGAGGTCTGCACCAAACACTTATCGCACAACGCGCATCGCATCTGTGATCTAAGTTGATTCATGACTGGACTGGATGGATGGATGGATGCAGCCGTCGAGGCAAGGCGACAGACAAGATAGCCAAAGAGGTGAGGCGCCATGCAAACATAAACAAAGAAACACAGACAGAGGCGGCGCATGAAATGTGACCTGTTCTTGTTGTTGGGCGTGTATGTACGCGTCGTCAATCCATCCATCCATCAGCCGTGGGCGAAGGAGGTGCAGTGGGTGGCGGGGAGTGCCCTGGACCCGCCCTCTTTCCGCTCCCACCTGGAGACCTGCAATGGAGTCATTCACTCTATCGGCATTCTCCTCGGTACACGCACTCGCTGAGAAACGACACGACACGACACGACACGACACGGGCACCGCACCGATGGATGCGATGCCCTGTGTATGAGGGGTGCAGAGAACAACTTGAACAAGTTCGTCAGCGGCTCTCAGGCGTCTGGCGCTGGTGAGAAGACGGACACGCACATTATAGTGCATGGATTGGATGCGTTATGCTTTCCCTTTGTTCAACGTGCGCAGGTCTGTCATATGAGCAAGTCAACAGAGATACGGTAGGTAGGGGCAACATCAAGCCTTGAGCACCCCTCATTCACTGGCAAAATTGGCTCAGGCGTTGGTTGTGGCTCGCGAGGCCCGGAGACTGCCCCCCGTGCAGTCGTTTGTCTTTGTGTCGGCCAAGAGCGCCCCGCCCTTCCTCCAGAGATACATACTCGCCAAGAGGGACGTCGAAAATGTATGTGTCTAACCACACACACCAATCAAGCAAGCAAGCAAGCAAGCAAGCAACACAGCACAGAGGGCTGTCCATACGTACTGTCCATACGTACGGCGCGTCGTGTGTTGTCATGGGCAGGAGCTCCGCACCTACGGCCACGATGAGCTGAGGTCGGCCTTCTTGTATGCAGGTGGGCAGAAAACGAAAGGCAATCGAATCGACAGTGTTGATTCATTGATCGATGCCATGCAGGCATGATTTACCACGAGTCGAAGCCGGGATCGCCGCAAATGGCCTCCCTCCTCAAGATCGGTCAGCACGGCAGTCTTGATGGATGGATGGATGCTCAAATGCGGACGGATGCACACTCACTCAGGTTCTGATATGAATATTGCCTGCAGGCAGCGCCGTCAACGAGACGATGCTCAACTACGTCGGCTTCGGCCTCTCTGGGGTGGACGAGCCGACAGATCTCAACACGGTGAGCGAGAGGGTGCACAGACAGATGGTAGGTCCTATCTGCTTGTGTGATTTCTGCCAGCTTGCGGCGGCGGCCGTGCAGGCGTCGATCGATCCCAACATTGAAGGTTCCACCCAGCACGCAAGAAGCGCTTCGTGCACGCGCAGCTGCCTGTGCGTGCTGCGCTGTGCTGTGTCAGGCATTGTTGACAATCAGCGCATGGGTATGCTCGCCACAATGGCGGTAGGTCACACGCACACACCGAACCGATGTCCGTCTATCTTTGCTGTGGAGTGGATTGTGTTGCGTTGGGTGTGGTGTGCAGGAAGAGCACCCCCGCGACTATCCCCCCACACCCGAGAGAAGATGATCCGATCCGATGCGATGCGATGTGATGCGACGCATATGTGCGTGTGTGTTGTGTGTGTGTGTGTGTGTGTGTGTAATGAATATGTGTGCGAGTGAGTTGTGGGTAAGGCAGAGGCAGGCAGGCACGCCCTGTAGTGTCAGCCAAGGCAGATACCTAGATGGGTGTGTAAGTCGTGATCTGTGCATGCCGTCCCTGTCGATGGATGGATGGATGGATGCTATGTAGTATATTGACTTCCTGTGCTGTGTGTATCTCGGTGTCGACACACTCATGTGACGATCTGACCAATACACTAAACTGCTTGGCGGGGAGGGTATCCCGCTGTCCATTGGTCGACGCAGCCCACACAATAAATACGGCAGGAATGGTGGAACCTACCCAGTCACTGGCAGGATGTGTGTGGTCTGTCTGTGTGTGATGTCGACCAAGTGGTGCAGCTGCGAGGCTGGGGCGTTGTGTACGGTGTGGTGCGGCTCTTCAAGCAAATGGTGTATTTGTTTTTGCAATCTCGACCTACACGAATGCAGAGAGGGTAGGGGATGTGTTTCTGTTGTGCATGGGGTCCATGCTATGGATATGTGTTGACGGACCTTCCGATGACAGACAAACCCTGCTTCTACCGGGTGTGACTGTACGTGTGTTTTGATGTGCACTGGCATTCGAGTGAATTCATGTCCTTCGATCAGTCAGCCATTTGCTCCCACCCCATGTGTGCACACGAATCAATCGACCCAGCCCCCTATAGACCGTCTCAGCAGCTACAGCCCCCTATACCCTTCACGCACACGTGCGTATGGATCGATGGACTGTGAGTCCGGTCTGTCTGTCCGTCACTTGAGTGGCCCCACGTCTGTGTCCTCCAGTCCCCACCCCTGGTACTGGAGCGGGCTCCCCTCCTCGCCTGTCGGCGCTAGTACCCATCGACCACCTTTGTCGATGACGTCAGTGTCGAGCTCGAATCGCCGCAGCGCAGGACGCCATCGGGGCATCGACAGAGGGTAGCCTTCGGGGAACGATGCGCATGCGGGGCCCTCGGTCGTCCACAGGTCGATGACGCCCGGCTTGACCCAAAAATTCGTCGCAAACTTGACCCACAGATACGCCGCAATGGTCTCGCCCCGTCGCCAGCCGCTCACAATCACACGACGACAGTCAATTTCGAAGCAACCGCTGCGATAGTCGACGGCGATGCCCAAATCCTCTGTGATGTCGTCGGTCAGCAGACAGCGATACCGAGGGTCATCAATGTCGATGAACGCACCCTGCACCATCCTATGGCACACTCCCTCTCCATTCGACCACTGGTCGAGAAGCGCGTCTAGCAGGAATGCCGAGAATGAACGGAAGAGTATGTTGCTGCTGCCCCGTCGGATGACGGGATCCGTGCGCTTGTAGCTGTCGGCATAGGGATGGCCGCCCGGCAGCTCTCTCAACGCCACCACGCGAAACGGGTCCATGTCGGCGATCCGATAGTGTCCGTTTTCGTCGGCTGGCTGCAGCGTCAGGCTGTGTGTGTTGTATGTCAGCTGGCGGCCGATGATCTTGTAGATGGACATGGCGAGGGGCAGCTGATGGAAGGCCGTGGCTGGGGGCAGTGCGTCGGCCGACAGACGGAGAGGCGGGGCCACATCAGCAGGGGTGAGTCGGTAGATGAAGGCCAGCCGAAGGAATCGACCCATTGCCCGCCACTCCTCGCCACTGCCCTGCTCCAGCACATAGACCACCTTCAAGCCGGCCTCCAGGTCACCGCCAATGTCGAAAGCCAACACGTCCGCCAGCCCGAGACGACTGAGGGCCTTGTCGATGTGCTGCTGGACGGCGTTGAGCAGGGTGCTGTTGACGGTCTCCGTAGTGTGGCCCAGCAGCTCCTGTTGCCGAGTGCGGGTGACAATCTGTGAGCGGAGAGCGGCTCGTTTGGCATCGTCAGTCGACATAAACATACGGTCCATCTTGCTGATGGGCAATGACAGGTCAAAGAGGTCGGCGGGCTGGAAGAGGGCAGGGCTAGGGGATGAGGCGAGGGCGCCGCACCAGTGGACTGCATCGTGAGTCTCCTGAGGTCTCAGCGAGTTCTGTGGGATGTGAGAGCACACACCAGACACAAACAGCTCGTGACGCGCTTTACAAGCTTCATCTGCTTCTCTTGCGTCCCTTTACCTTCACTGAGTGACTTGAAAGCTCCGAAATCGACCCTTCGAGGGCCGGGGGGCAAGGTCCCGACCCCTCCTTCTCGTCTTCTCCACCTGCATCAGCATTCGACGAGAGAGCGGCGGAGACGTTGACCCACTTCTTGGTGGGAAAGGGCGTCTGGACCACACATACACACACAGACAACCAGGGAGAGAGTAATGGCTGCAGTGCTCTCGTGTGTGTGTGTGTGTGTGCGTGTGTGGTTGACCTGTGCGGCGACTGTGGTGTTGAAGAGCTGCTGCACACCGGCAGCCTCTCGTGTGACCTGCAGGCATCGCACACACACACAGACACACAGTGAATGAGAGCACACCAGCAGTGATGCCATTGGGCCTCTCATGCGCCACTTGCCTGATCTATCTGTGTGTGCAGCGATGCGATGCGCTCCTCCTCCAGACGAACCAAACCCTCAGTGATGGGCTGCAACGCGCACACAGACGGACGATGAATGATGGACGTGCTGAGTGCTCTCGCGAGTGAATGCGTTCGCTTCTGGGTTGCTCACCGGTGTGCCGCCTGTCTGAGCTGCAGTGGCAGGGTCACTGCCCTGTTGTGTGCCGAGTCGCCGCTCTCCTTCAACGCCCTCAGGACCCACGGTCCGCCGCGCCGGCTCAATACCTGATCTCCCCGCCCTGTCGCTCGTCTGTGGCCCGACATAAGCCGGCGTGGCGCCAGTGAATGCGCGAGGCCGGTTGAACAGCGATGGGCGCGGCCGTGTGCCGTACTGCTGCAGGTGGAATGGGGCTGAAGGGACTAGGGGAGGGCGGAATGACGTTTGGGGTGACGGCTTGGGAGGGAGCGACATGCGGCTATCGCGGCTCTCCCGCTGCACTGTCGTCAGACGACCAGAGGCACCAGGGTTTGCGAACCTGAGCGGCGCGACAGCTGACGCCGGCAAGCTTGGCGCCGGCTGTCGTCCCATCAGCCCCCTCCGAGCTCCATAGATGCCGCAGTCCTCCATCTGCGCAAGGTGCATGCCATGTGGGGGGTAGAGGGGCCGCATGAATGGCAGATGACAGTGGCCGGGCAGTGGTCGACGCCGGGAAGTGGTCGCAGCCTGAGCGCATCTGCGTACTCGTCCTCTCCTTGGTTGCTGGAAGGGGCGAGTGGCGACGGCTGAGCTGTTGCTGCGGCAGGCGCCCCGGCAAGCTGCCTGTGAGGCTGGGACGCCATCAGCAAACAAGTGGTCTGAGGGCAAGGGGATACATACACAACACCATGGGCATGCGAGCAGGTACTCTCATTGGTAGGTGTGTGTATGGGTTCTCACATGGTGTTGGTATCAATGGTCAAGAGGCTTGGCGACTGGCTCACGACCCTGCAGGCACCGCAAACGCCTGTGTGCTCTCGCTCGCGAGTGAATGCGTTCGCTTCTGCATGCGCTTCTGGGTTGCTCACCGGTGTGCCGCCTCTCTGAGCTGCAGTGGCAGTGCCGAGTCGCCGCTCTCCTTCAACGCTGAGCCTCATGCTCAAAACAACAGAGGTACAAGGTCTTTATCGTCTTTCACGACTCCCAGCTCTATCTAGACCGTAAGGAGGCGTTCCCCTTCTTCTTCTCCGTCCTTCCCGCACCACCTGCGAGCTAAGCTGCGAGACCTCTTCCAGCTTTCTTCCCTTCTTGAAGGGAACACACCAGCGACACAGCCACGATGCCCCCCTCGGCACACCCGTTACAGCAGCATCAGCAACACTTTGGAGCGGCACCCGACCTCCTCCCGCCGCAGCTAATATTGCATCCGCACCAGCAACACCCCACCTGCATGTGGCCGACCCCTCCCCGTGTGCCCTTCAGGCCAATGGAGCGGCAGCCCGCTCAAAAGCGGTGCCACCCGCCAGCACGAAAGCCGCCACGCACACCTCACACTCGTGGCCCCCCTTAGCGCACGCGCGTCAACCCGTACGTGTGTCCGCCTTGCCTTCGGGCTCGGCAGGACCCGTACGGTGCGACCGCGGCGCCCATCAGCGGATATCCGATGATGCAGCACCACTTCTACAACCCGCCTGCACCGGCCGCGCATGCCCTTGGCTGGGGCTTTGTTCCACCCGCCGCCACAATGGCGCCCCACCGTGCCCCTCAGACAGCAGCAGCACCGCCACGCCACGCCGGGCCCATCCGGCCGAACATCGCCGCCATCCCGATGGCCACCCCAGCGGTGCAGCCTGCGTCGAAGGCCAGGGAGGGAGAGGGGAGGGAGAGGGAGAGGAGGGAGACGGAGAGGCGGGAGAGGGAGGAGGACGTCAAGGAGGAGGAGAGGGCCTCGGAGGCCCTTGCCGCACACCCCAGCCAGCCGGAGGAGGAGGAGGAGGAGGAGGAGAGGGACCACGAGGCGGCTGGCGAGCCGCCACGGCAGGAGGAGCCTCAGGGACTTGCGGAGAGTGCCCCTGCCGCCAGTGCGCCCAGCGAGTCGCCTGTGGGCGACAGTGACGAGCCCAGCGTGCCTAGCCGAGGTACGAATGGATGGGTGGACAACAAGAGGGCGAACAAAGTGTGACTTGATTCATCATTCACTTTGCTGTCTGCACGTGTGATGTGTGTGTTCGTGCAGTTGTTGTCGAGGCGGCAGGAGAGGCGGCTACCGACAGTGACCGAAACGAGCCGGCACCGCCCGCCACCGCACCCCTACACGGGCAGGAGGAGGCATCCATCCGCGACGATGCGGCCGCTGAGAGTGAGCCCAGCGATCTGGCTCAGCCCGTCCCCGCATCCCTCGCACGCCCGCTGGACAAGCACCAGCTGACGGGAGCGTTTTTCTTCAACGAGAGGGTGCTACAGCTGCGCGGGAGCGTCGATGGCACAGACGCCGTCATCCGCCTCCTGGTGCCTAACAAGTTGCGGAAAGTGCTGGAGAAGGCCCCGCTCAAGAATGACGATGCGACGGCCATACAGATGCTCAAGGCATGCCGCTGCCTGGAGGACGAGGCGCAGCTCCTGCATCGCATCGGCGACCAGCTGAAGCTGCCGCGACTCCTCTCTCGCGGATACGTGAGGGAGGACGAGCCGATGACCCTGAAGCTCTGGCCGATGGACAAGGATAAGAGGTGCGGTGTCCAGGGAGAGGGCGAGCCGACGGAACTGGAGGTTCGGGGGGTATACTATGCCGTCGAACTTCTTAGTAAGGACACAGAAAAAGACGTGTGTGGTGTCGTCACTGGGAATACTGGGTTCCGTGTGTTTTTTCAGAGTTCGCTGGTGAGGACGCTCTGAACCTCTGGCAGTTCGCCGTCGCCCGAGCCGCCACCACTCTGTCCGCCAGCACATCAACACCCCTCGTCCCGCCGGCCGGCTACGAGCTGTGGGGGAGCAAGACGTGGAGCAAGACGCTGAGCTCGTCCATGATGAGCGCCGTCGCCTCGACGAGCCGAGAGGTGATCCATCGCGGCCTGCTCGACGCTCTCAAAGCCGTCCAAGCCCTGCATCGCCGGCACTCGTTCCCGCCCCTCCCCGAGGGCACCGAGCTGCCCGATTACCCGCTTTCCCCGATATTCCAGAAGGATGGCCCCAAGGAGTACCCTCGCTTCCGCTCAAAGGTGCCGAGTCTGTGGGAGAGGGGCGCGGGGGCCGTCACGCTGGTGCATGGCGACATGCACGCTGCCAACCTGATGGTCACCGGCGACACGCACCACATCGAGGTCAAGCACATTGACCACGAGTGCGTGCGGGAGCTGAATGAGGACCCGGTGGCCCAGACCGTCAACCCAGCCCACGTCATCAGCACGCCACTCACGTACGTGCCTGTCGACTACTTCCTGTCACGTGCCCGAGGGGAGCACTACCCGCCACGTTGGCAAGGGACCGACACATACGGTGTCGTTGTGTCCGTGGCATTCGCGGCGCTGGCGGGCCACAGGGAGATGGCGGGGCGGCTGCGCGGATGGGGCCTGTGCAGGGGTGTTGGTGATGGTTTGTTCGTCAATACGTGGATGCGCGGCAAGTGCGAGATGACGGAGTTGCTGGACACGGCAGGGAAGCAAGAGGAGCGAGTGCGGGAGAAGCTGGTGCAGAAGGGGCTGGCGAAGGAGCGGGAGACACATGGCGAGATCATGAGCACGATCCTGACAGCGGCCAGGGAGGCGAGTGAGGAGGAGCTGCTGGATCTGAACGTCGCCAAGGCATGCTTCACTTTTATCGCACCGCAGGAAGACCCCTACAAGAAACCACTCGACGACCTGATCGACGAGATCGAGACGATGATTAACAGAGCTTACCCAGGTGAACGCGCAGCGGGGAAAGCAGAATGAGTCATGACAAGTTTCTGTGTTGTGTCTGCTGTGCCGCAGGACATCGCTGACTGCATGAGTGGGGTGTGGATGCTCCTGGAGACACCGCAGGAGCATCGGCTGCTGGAGGGCTGTTGGGACACGATCATCTATCTGGGGTCGCTGCTTGATAAGGACAGCAAGGCAAAGGAGGCGGGAGAGGGAGAGGAGGGCGGGACGGTCCAGGCGGCGGTGGAGCACACGCACGTCGCTCTCCAGATCTGCAAGGCTCTCGCCGTGGGAGCAGTGCCTTGCCAGTCCGACGGCCAGCAATCAAGGCCGAGCGAGCGAGGGAGCATTGGGACTCACTCTAGTGGCGTTGCTCTTGCGTGGACTGATTGACTGATTGTGGAGCTTTCTATCAGTCTGTCTGTCTGTCTAGTGAGTGTTGTGCGGGGTGGGTTGATTGCCGTCGTGGGTGCGAGTCGAGTTCATCCGGTTGCTTCATCGTCGTTAACGAATGGGTTCTGACAGGTCGAATTCCGACAAACTGTCCGCGGGCCTGATGGTGGGCAATGGCGGGAGCGGCGCGGGGGGGTCAGACGGCCAGGGCGTCACGCCAGAGACCAGGGGAATGCCAACTCGCCACCTAAGGTAAGGTTGGTACACACTGACCTGACTGGATGTGCGTGTGTCGAAGGTAAGGTGGACAAATATGGTTGGGTGGCCTCTGTCGTGTCAGAGCTCCGACTTCGATCGCGCCATCACCCCCCCTCTCCGTTCGCCGTTGAAGGACGACTCCATCCCGTCTCTGCACGTGCCGCCCGCCACGCCCCTGACCACCGACACTTCGTACATCCCTAACATACCATCGCAGATCAGCCCCTCCACCCAGGCGCTGCCCGTCGAGACCGCATCCATCCGCTGTACCGACCACCTGCGGGTGACGGGCAGCACCGTGCAGGCCACGGCCAGCAGCAACAGCATCGGGGAGGACGGCGGCCTTCACGTCGAGTTTCTTTCACGTGCCCCCTGGAATGGGCGGAATAGACCGGGACAGACATGACGACACCACACTTGAACGGGACACGGCCAACAATGCGGTAGGTACGAAAGTCACAAAGACAGACAGACAGACATACAGACAGAATGAACAGGCGAAAGGACTGATGCGATGCGTGTGCAAATGTCTGTCCGTTCTTCGTTCATTCAGCTGCCTCAGTCAACTCACGCCACCCCCCCGTCGTCGAATCGTCCAGAGGACCTGCTGGCGTGGCTCAACGGGTCTCTATCGCTCGACGAAGACACGCCAGTGCCCCACGGGTCGCCCCAGTCTGACAACAGGGCAGCGAGCACAGACTGGTCGCCCGTGACTCATGGTGCCGGCGGGGTGAGCGACCCATCCCTGGGATATTTGTCGATGGGAGTTTCGTCTCCCACTCTCAGACCGGCAGCTCGCACCACGACAAAGACAGCTCCCCACCAACACACAGCTCGCGCCATGACCTGGCCGTGGCCGGCCAGGTGGCAGGGGGGGACAGAGCGGAGGTCGCTGTGGGTGTGGGTGTGGGTGGGGCGGGCAGGGGGGTGGACGGACACACATCGTATGCGCTGCTGATGGCCGCCGTGCTGACGGGCGACCTCGAGGGCGCCAGGAGGATACTCACTCAGAAGGTTGACCTCAATCTGCAACACGAGGTGAGATGCGGGAGGGAGGGACTTGATACACGAGACCGGGCGGACCGGACAGGCGAGCACGTGTGGCATATATGTGCGTGTCTGTCTGTCCTTGTGTGTGGTTGTCATCATGTCAGCGTGATGGCCGTACAGTACTCCATTGGGCAGCTGCTGGACCACGGTGACATTGCTGCTGGACCACGGTGCGGAGAATAACATCATTGACCACGCCGGCAGGACGACCCTCCACCTCGCAATCGCCGAGGAACGACAGGACGTCGTGGCAGAACTCGTACAGAGAGGAGCCGACATATTCCTGCCTGAAAAGGTAGGGACACTGACACAGCACAGACACTCATGGTGACAGACACACATGTGGCCAACCCAACCAACCCATGAGTGATCTGTGTCTGTCTCTCTCTCTCTCTGGTGTGCGCTGTGCTGTGCTGTGCTGTGCTGTGCTGTGCAGAAGATTGACGAGTTGCCTGACGAGTTGGGACACAGGGGGCGTCGGCACCCGGCGGGAGCACCCACGACCCATCCAGGCTCCTGCACAACGTCATGTCGACGGTCAAGGACACCACCTCACCACATGAGAGCGGCAGCAACCCCCCTCCGCCCGACTCCGACGAGCCAGAGGGAGGAGGCTGGCCGCCCTAGCCACCGTCTCACGCCAATGATCATGCCGCTGCCGCTGCCGCCCAGTGGTCATCATCTGGCACTGCGTTGCCTCGGCAGCAACGTGCGGCGCTTTACGGTGCGTATGGGCCGTCACCTGACGCGGCGAGTGCCCCTGTGGGTGTGGGGTACCGGGTGAGTGACGGTAAGGGCGTCGAGGAGGTGCAGCAGAAGCCTGAGACGTCCTACAGCAGCATGATCGACACACCACGTAAGACAGCACAGCGAGCTGCCACCCACCCGCCCATTCGCCCAGCGAATATTAATAGGCATACACAACACAAGGATTCATAGGCATACACAACACAAGGACCACCACCTGCTCTCCTCCCCTCCCCTCCCTTGTGTGTTGTCTGTTTCTGTTGGTAGGAGTATGCAATGACGGGTCAAAAGGTGGAGGTCATCAATGTGGCCATCCTGCAGTCCCCCAAGGCGGCCCCCGACGCGGCAACCGCCACACCGGCATCCACATCGAGGGGGACGACAGCAGCCACGTGGCCTTGTCGCAGGTGCAGAACAGTCTGGAGCCGACGAGCAGCGGGCGCGAGGTGGTTGTGATGGCGTAGAGCTGGGCGACAAGGAGAGCACCATCCCGCCCGTCCTCTTCCAGCAGGTCATCCACATCAAGGTTGAGGACAACAGAGAAGTCGCCACCATGGGACACAAACACCGAGCCGGTACGCACGCAGCGCAACACAACACACTGCTTGCCATGCCATGCCACCCAGCCACACATATATACTCTCTTCCATTGACTCGGTCAGACCTTGATCGCCGTGAGCTCATCGCCCTCGCCGGTTTGATCCGCGAGCGTCTTCCACGCAACTACCAGGGCGTGCCGATCAACGTGGGCTCCATCGGTCACCTGAATCCCGAGGAGGGCACCTGCCCCAACAAGCGGTGCTACTGGCACCACCAGAAGGTGTGCAGGTGGGGCACCCTCTGCGGCCGCTGCCACATCTGTATCCCTCCACGACGAGCATTCCGCCCCTCCCTCCAAGTGGCAGCGTGAGGCGCAGAAGAGGGCCGAGCTCGTGGGCGGCTACGGCGACAACATGTCGGTGCGGCGAGACGACCAGGAGGGAGTGCCTTTCGCTTCGCTATAGGGGGGTCTGGGTGACTTCGAGGCGCTGAGGCAGACCGTGGTGGAGCTGGGTCTGCTGCCGAGTGAGGTGGCGGCGGTGGAGCACACGCACGTCGCTCTCCAGATCTGCAAGGCTCTCTTGGCTTTGCGGCCCACACGCCCGGCCTCGGCCTCGGCCTCGCCTGCGGCACCAGCAACGCAGCAACAAGAAGAGCCTCAGTCTGCGGCACGTGTGAAGCAGGCGGCAAACGTGCCTGCCGTCTAGTTGGTGTCGTGCGGCGTGCAGAATGTCCCATTGTCATCATCACCGTCATCTCCCGGTCGCTCGTTGGTCACCGGTGCTTTCTGGTTGGTGTATTTGTGGAGAGGAGCAGCATGACGAGTGAGGAGCGGCTGTGCCTGTCGTGTGCATACGTGTGACGGACAATCTGACGGATGCGTGTCTGCTCGATGTCGGATATCATTGCTTCGCTGATTCTTGTACGGATTGCTCGAATGCAGAGAGGGTAGGGGATGTTTGTGTGTAGTGCATGGGGTCCATGCTGTGGATATGTGTTGACGGACCTTCCGATGACAGACAGACTCTGCTTCTGCCGGGTGTGACTGTACGTGTGTTTTGATGTGCACTGGCATTCGAGTGAATTCATGTCCATCGATCAGTCAGCAACGTGCTCCACCCCATGTGTACACACGAAGGAAACGCCCAGCCCCCTATAGTCCGTCTCAGAAACTACAGCCCCCTATACCCTTCACGCACACGCACGTATGGATCGATGGACTGTCTGTCAGTCTGTCTGTCCGTCACTTGAGTGGCCCCACGTCTGTGTCCGCCAGTTGCCCCTGGCCGCTGCTGTGCGCCATTGCGGCCTCGAGCAGCTCGAAGGTGTCCCCTGACGCCCGCTCGAGTGCGCCGCCAGCCACGGCCTGTGCACTCTGCTGCACCTCGTGCGTCTGGCCGGGCTGCACGCCGCCGAAGGCAGACCCTGCAAACAAATCGAAGAGACACAGGCAGACGTCAGTTTCTCTCCCGCTGTATGAGTGTATGGACATGATCAGGGGCTCACCTGCTGTCCAGACGCGACTCTCAGACCGGTCCTTATCTGCAAATGCAGCGGACATTTCCATCGGCCCATGGATATGTATTTCTTCCTTCCTACCCTCCTTCCACACAGACGAGTCAGGCAACTCAGACAACTTGGCCACACCTACGGAAAGGCAAGCATCCATCCATCCATCCATCCATGTGTGTATGAGTGAATGGTGCAGAGCGTTCTTCTTACCTATGTCCGCCTTCTCTGCCTTCTGCGCGGCCTCCTCAGCTACGGCCTTGTTGAGCGACTTCTCAGCGACCTCCAGGCCCTGCACATACAGAAAGAGAAACGACAGCAATAAAATGATTTGGTTGCATGTAATAATGCCATATATGTATCCGATTGCCCACCGTGAACTCGATGCTCGTGTTTGCCTTCTCGCTGCTGCTGCGGATCGCTATGGCGGCACCGTACGCCACCGCCTGACAGTGAACACATGCAACCGTAACACACCCCTCCTTTTGTCCCTTTTCGAGCTCACGGGGACGGCGAATTTGAGTTTGATGTCCTCGTGCATGTAGGTGAGGAGCAGCTCACTGGAAGGCACGCACAAAGCAGTGGGTGGGAACTGCAGCCTCGCAACACACACTTACGCCCCGAGTAGCATGCATTTCTCGATCTTGGTGTAGTCCCACACGAACTCTGGCAGAAGGGCAGGAGAATAACACAAAGACGAGTGAGCGGCTGCATTGGCTCACCATTGTCCTTGGTAGTGAGGCTGACGGCCGTCGTCGTCACGTACAGGTCGCCCTGCAGCCACACACCACACACACCACGCACACCACACACACCACACACACCACGGACTCAGGCAGGCTCATATGGGGGCAGCTGGGTCCGTTGTACTTGCTTCGTGGGCCCACTGTCTGAGTAGAACACCACCTTCGAGTACTTGAACGCCCTGCAGAGGTAGAAGGGGAGCCGATGGATCATGTCTCTGTGCGTCGCATCTGTGTGTGTGGATGTCCACCCGTCAGCGAGGGCCACAGGTGAGAAGTCCTCCCCCACTGACAACCAAACACAGCGGATGTGGGTGTGTGGTTCTGTGAGGGCTGCATGGGTACCGTCGTAGAGGTTCTGACGCGTCTTGTGCTGATCTTTGTCCAAAACTGTGAGAGCAGAACGACAGCAGCACACACATACATCGACAGCAGTGCAGTGTGTGAGCCGCTTCCCGCTTTCTTACCGACGTCGAGGATGCTTCCACCCGCAGACACCGACCCTGACGAACACGAGGCCAACCAACAAGAGAACAATGCCATCCCTGCCACCTCTCCCGTTCCTACCACCGTTCTCTTCAAAGATGGACAGATCCTTGAACTTGTCCATAAGCGACAGAGCCGCGCCGCCACCACTGTCAGCTACGATAGGCAGGAGCAGCGCATCCATCCATCAGTCCATCAGTCCATGCAGTGCATCAATGCCGCCTACCGCTCTGGCCCTCAGCAGCAGCAGCCGCTTTGTCCTCCTCACATCCCTCTCCCACCTTCCCATCAACGCCAGTGCCGAAAACGGCCTTCATACGGTCCTCCTCCTTCGGGCTTTTCGCCATCCCCTTCTGGTCAGCGTAAACTTCCTTTGGCCGTCACAAACAATGTGACATGTAACGGCGCAGCGCGGCGGAGGCATCGAAAACAGATGAGGTGGGCGATGGTGCTCATCGGTCTCCTCCTCACAATCGGAAGAGGTGCCGACGAGGAACAGCCCGACGACGAGGAAGACCTCGATGGCAGGCTGAGAGGACTCGAGCAAAGAGCAGGCAATTAACACGACAACGAAAAGCAGAGGCCATCACCTTCGTGATTGTGTCCCTTTCTCTCCTTCTTGTCCCCTTCAGCAGCGACGTGTCCCAACAGGGAGTTCAGCACCGTTGCCTGCCTCGACAGCGTCACGCAGCGGAACTTGGACACCAAGCAGGAGTGCGAGGTGCGCACACGACAGACAGACAGACAGACAGACTCTCCACGGTTCATTACACGTTATCCATCATGGCCGTCCTGTCAGAGTAATGGCTGCTGCTGGGACGCCACCAACACTCACCAAACCCTTGAGCCGGTGGCGCACGCCCAGCAGAGGCGCTCGTACACGAGGAGGGCGGTGCCGCTGCGGTGCTATCACACACCCAAGAGCGCACACCAGCACGGCATTCAGGCCCCCGGACATGCAGGTGACGAAAGGATGGAGGACAGAAGAAACGGGCTCTGATATGTCTGTCTGGTTGATGTGCAGATTGGAGCCAGCCGCCTACAGCACGTACGCAGCAGGTTTCGGCTCCGCCACAGCCGCAGTCAGGGGGTAAGCTGCCAAGGGCACACAAGAGCGGCCTGCCGAGCATTGGTCGGCTCTTGCTGTCCCCTTCTCGGCAGAGAAAGCAGAGAAGAGCCCGACATGTTCTGCCAAGTTCCGCGACTGCAACAAGACGGGCTGCTGCGCCGACGAGAAGTTCCAGTGCCGAATCACACAGGGCTCACTACTTGCCAAGAGCCGAAACGTTAGCAGAGAGGGGGGAAGCACGCCTGCACTGCTGCAAATGTTTGGCTGATCCGACTTGTCATGTGTGTATCTATCATCATAAGTGGGCTCAATGTCGTCTCGCGTCCGAGCCGTGCCCCCCGTCGGCCAAGGAGAGGGGGTGGGGCTGGTACTGCTGGACGCTGCAACCTAAAACAGGCGGAGGTTAGCCACGTCTGGAATCGTCCTCACTAGCTCTGTGTCCACTGTGCTGTTGGCTCAGCGCTGATCCCGTGGCCGAAGCTCAAGGTCGCTCCTCCCAAAGACCCACACATGGAGGCTGAGATCAAACGCATCGTCGGCGGGCTGACGCTGGAGCAGAAGCTGGCGCAGATGGTGCAAGTCCACTCACCGGGCACCGACCCCTCTTACATGAAGGAGAAGTTCGTCGGCACCATCATCTCGGGCGCAGGTAGGTGAAATGGGTCGGATGAATCGGCGACACACGCGCATCTAACCCATGGTCTGCTGTGTTTGTCAGGCACCCGAATCGGCTCTCACACTGAGGCGGCGTGGCTTGCGCAGGCAGAGGTGTTTTACAACGCCGCTCCGTCGTACAAGGGCGTCAAGGTCCCCTACATGTGGGGAATCGACGCTGTCCATGGGCACCACAACCACGGGTCAGCCACCATCTTCCCCCACAACATCGCACTCGGGGCCGCAAACGACGTCGAACTCATGAAGAGGTCAGCTGCAGCTGACCAACACCACTGGATGATCAAACCCACAATGACATACGATCGTCCTTCTTGCTGTCTTGGTGCAGGATTGGTCGTGTGACGGCGATAGAGCTGGCGCTGACGGGTCTAGACTGGACCTTTGCCCCATGCCTCGCCGTCCCGCAGAATGCCCGATGGGGCAGGACATACGAGGGCTACTCGGCCTTCTCAGAGACCGTCGCGCGCCTAGGTGCAGCCATGGTCACCGGCTTGCAGGGCCACCCCCACAAGGATGGAGGGAAATACTACCTGGATGCGACACACGTCCTGGCGACGGCAAAGCACTGGGTGAGTGAGGTGTGGCCGGGCCGTGAAGGATCGGTGCCTCTGGTCGATCATGTGTGTGGTGTGTGTGTGCAGATAGCTGACGGTGGCACTCAGCACGGCAAGAACACGGGTCCTGCCTTCATGAGTGAGGAGGAGCTGAGGTCGAAACACGCTCCGGGGTACTTTGCGGCCATCGAAGCTGGAGTTGGGGCCATCATGGTGAGACGAGACGAGACGAGACCATACCCCACACACCACACCGCACTTGATGCAGATAGATGTGTCCCTCCCTCACCTCACTTCTTTCTCTGTGTTCAGGTGAGTTTCTCCAGCTACAACGGTCTGCAGCTGCACGCCCACGAGTACCTCATCAACGGAGTCTTGAAGAACGCCCTCGGGTTCGATGGGCTGGTCATCAGCGACTGGGAGGGGCACCACTGGGTGTGGCCCTCCTGCACCAAATGGTCCTGCCCCCCCTCTGTCAATGCCGGCATCGACATATTCATGGTCCCGACCAATAACGACTGGGTTAGCTTAGCATGGAGATGCCAGAGACGGACGATGGGCATGGGGGCATGGGGGTGTGTGTGAAGATTAATTAGATTGCTGTTCCTCGGTCCGTCAGGTTGGTTTCATCGAGAACACGGCCAAGCAGGTGCGTGCGGGCATCGTGCCGATGGAGCGCATCGACGACGCCGTCACGCGGATCCTCAGAGTCAAGGCGCGCATGGGCTTCATCTCGTCCATATCCACGCCACACGGCAAGCCACGGCCATCGCCACAGCGACGCGCACAGATGCTCAAAGACATGGGCCACTCCCTCGGCGCACCAGGCCACCGGAAGGTCGCTCGCGAGGCTGTGCAGAAGTCGCTCGTCCTGCTCAAGAACGACAGGCAAATCCTGCCGCTGAAGAAGCCATCACGGCTGCTGGTGGTGGGCAGGGGGGCCGACAGCATCGCGGTGCAGAGCGGGGGGTGGACATACACATGGCAGGGCGACAAGAAGGCACCGAACGAGGTGTTTGTGGGGGCGACGACCATCCTGGCTGGCCTGCGGCAGAAGGCCGCACAGAAGGGGGGCTCGGTGGAGTACTCTTTTGACGGCAAGGCGGCGAGGAAGGGCGCCTTCGACGCCATCATTGCCGTCATTGCGGAGGACCCCTATGCCGAGGATGGGGGAGACATCACCGTCCCCAGGCCATTCTCTCACGTGCGGCCGCAGAACCCCGCCGGCTACTTCGACCTCCACCTGCTCAGGACGCTCAGGAAGCAGGCGCCAGACACGCCAGTGGTGACCGTGTTCCTGACGGGCAGGCCGCTGTACACCAACAACCTCATCAACCTGTCAGACGCCTTTGTGGTGGCATGGCTGGTGGGGTCGGAGGGCGGCGGGGTGGCCGACGTGCTCTATGCCGACGCGCCAGTGTCGGGCCACCTGCCGTACGATTGGCCCACGCATCCCTGCAAAAGCGGGGGGAAGCAGGCCAAGAAGGGCGGGCGGGACGACGCCAAGACCAACAGCACTTTCTTTGTTGGCGAAGGGGGGCATTGGCCGGCTGTGTTCGAGATGGGCGGGGGGCTGTCCTATAAGGACAACGACAACGACAGCCCCAAAGTCACGAAGATGCAGACTCTCGAAGAGCCTGAGGTCGAAACATGTCACTCGTAGTACAGGATGGCAGGCGATGGATGCCTTTCCGCGTGCGCATCATTTGTGTGTATACACATGGACATAGTGGGTGGGGTGTGCTCTGTGTGTGGGTGGTGTGGTGGGGGTTGGTTGCACAGCTTGTGAATACAGGCAAGTAGGCGTAGCTTGTAGATAATACCCTAGTGCGTGAAGACGGCGCATCATTTGTGCGCCAGACTTACTGGGAGGGAGGGAGGGAGGGAGGGAGGGAGGGGGATGGCCGTGTGAGTGCTTGTCGACTCGGTGTGTGTGTGCAGGTGCGTACTGTGTCGATCCCTCCATCCATCCATCTGTGTGTCTGTCTGTGTGTACACGTAGGATGGAGGGAGGGACATTTAACTGACTGACTGACTGCATCTAGCTAAGCTACACAAGTCAAGTCGTTTTGATTGACGTGACCTTAGCCAGCCAAGTCGTTTCCGAACGGCTGTTGTTCCATGTACATGTGTGTGCGCAATCCACACGTACGGCAAGTAAGCTGATGGATGCGACAGACAACGCATGATTGATTGATCGATGCATGGATGGATGGACGCGTTCGCACACTTCTGCCTGCCGAGCCGAGCCAGGCACTGACTGACTCAGGTTGACGTCGTGCCTAACTCTTGCCTTGCCTGCATGTCACTGCAATCATCGGATCCAACCAAAGGTGCCATACGCATCCATCACACAGACTAGCGAGCCACGGCAGGCAGCCAAATGCTCGACACCACTCGCAAAACCCAAACCCCTCATTTGAGCTCGTATAGCTCAGGTCGCTTCTGCATCGATATGGGGACGCGGGTGCGGACCTGAAGACAAGGAAGGATGCGGTCGGTATGCAGGCAGCACAGCGTCGCTGTGTCTGTGTCTGTGTGTGTGCGTACATCTTTCAGATAGTCCAAGTCGACATCCACAAAGGCAAAGCCCGGCTTCTCATCAAGTTCGACCTGACACACACACAGATAAAGACACACACACGCATGGCGCCTTGTCTGTCTGTCTGTCTGTCTGTCTGTCTGGGTGGCTGACCTTGACCTCTCCCCAAGGGTCGACCACTAGTGAGTGTCCCCAGGCAGGATAGTCGCCTGCATCCTCACTGCGGGCGGGCGAACACACAGCCACGTAACACTGGGTGTCCAACGCACGACCCTGCACACACACATGTGCAGACAGATACACAGACGTCAAGGCACTGAATGCACTTGTCGATCGCTAGGGTGACCTGGCAGAGAATTCTCCAGTGTGCTGGGCCAGTGGTGGTGTTGAATGCTCCTGGGTAGATGAGCACCTGTGCGCCACGCTGGCGCATCGAAAGGGCCAACTCGGCGAAGCGGACGTCGTAGCAGATGCCCACACCTGACACACATACAGACTAATGCCTTGGCGGACGACAACAGGGTGTGCGCACGTCGGTGAGTACCGATAGTGCCGAAAGGACTCTCAAATGTCGTGACCTGGCCACCTAGATGGGGCAAAGTGCCACAGCAACAGACAGTAGCTGTGGTCCACTGCCGACTTGCGTGGCCTGGTCACCTGCCGAGAGCGTCTCAGACTCTTTGAAGGTCATCTTGCCGGGAATGTCAATGTCAAACAAATGAACCTGACGACCGACACGCACACACAGAAAGCTATGGCGGTATGTATGCGCACGCTGCGCGTCATTCTCTATCTCTCTCTCACCTTCCTGTGTTTGGCGACGATGTGCCCTTGTGGGTTGAAGACCAGGCATGTGTTGTAGATCTTGCCGGCACTGTCACGCTCAGACACCGAGCCGCCAACCAGCCACACACCATGGCTGCAGCATCGACAGACAAACCAACAGAGAAGGCACATATCCACTCCCAGCCAACGGCTGTCACGTGCCAGCCTTTGTGCGCACCTCTTGGCTATGTCAACGAGCACCTTGACACTCGGGCTGCAGTGCAAAGGAAAGGCGTTCACGAGAGAGAAATTCAGAAGCGATGGAAGATTCACCTCTGGTCAGTATTTGGTTCGGCTGCCTGGGCATCTGGAACGGGCTCGCAGAAAGGCTCGAAAAACTGCACACATCACACGTAGCGCCACATGCTTCGCTCATTGTCACACCCCTACCCTCATGCTCACCTTGGTGCCGTACGGACAAGCGAACATCTCTGCCAGTGACAGCAGCAATCACCACAGCAGCAATCGGCACAGCACCATATGGGGATCTTCGTCTTTTCTGACTGACCTGGCAGTACGACCATCTTTGCGCCTGGATGCGCAGCGATGCCCTCACCCACGAGCTTCTTTGCCGCCTCGAGCGCATCCGTCTTGGCCTCGGCAACGCCCTTCTTGGAGGGCACCGGAGGCGTCTGACCAATCGAACAAGAGAGTCACGCGCACATATGGAACGCTTGTGTGTCCTTGTCACCTGGCAGAGCAGCAGCCCAAATTTCGTGACGCCGCCCTCGCTGCCCATCTTCACAAGTGTGTGGGAATGCAGATGCGGAGCTGCTCTGATGAACTTGAAGGGCAGGGATCTTCGAAGGGACGATGCAGCGCGAGCAGCGATGATGGCTTAACTCCTCTTTTTTCCGTGAAACTCACAAAATGATGGAGTACCATTATTTATTCCTGCCCCTCTCGAAGCGGATCCCTGCGGCGAATCCTGCCCTCGCGCAGAGGCTCTGACAAGCTCCATTCTGCAGCGGTCTTCCTCCGCACTCGATCACACCATCATGTCTGGCGAGACTGTGAAGCTCAACGTCGGCGGCAAGACCTTCGAGGTCGCCAAGAGCACCCTCACCAAGCACCCTGATGCACTTCTCGCCAAGCTCGTCGATGCGAAGTGGCATGCCCAGCAGACCGAGGCCATCTTCGTGGACGCCGACGGCTCCCTCTTCGAGTATGTGCTGCAGTACTACCGCCGCGGCGCGCCAGTCATCATTCCCTACACTGTCACCAAGGGCCAGCTCAAGAAGGAGTTCGACTACTACGGCATCACACTGACCGACGAGCAACTCGAGGTGGAGCGGGTTTCGATGGCTGTGGCGTCGAAGAATCGGTTGCAGCACCTGCAATCTCTCAAGGAGGAGGCTGACGACCTCATGGAGCAGTACATGGTCAAGATGGTGACGCACAAGATCCTGACGGACATCGCCAACAAGACTGACAAGCAGGTGTTCGTGCGTCCCCTTTCGGAGCTGGCGGATCTATGGAAAGGAATGGACAGAACCTTCAAGGGCCTCTCTAACCGTATCTCTAATTCTCTGCAGCAGAAAGGATGCCATGACCTATGCAAGCGTGTGCGGGAACTTCTCGAGGGTTTTGGCTATGAGTGTCAGTGTCCCTGGGAAGATGCAGTGAAGATTTGTCTCTAGGCGATGGGGGTGCACATCGCAGTATATGTGGCCGTCAGACATTTCTTGATTGTCCGTCTTCAGGAGTGAAGAGAGGGCAGCTAGTGAACATTGCCGTTTCGTTCTGTGTGGTACAGCCGGGTACGGCAGAACGCAAGTGCACTTTTTTCATGGTCTGCACGTAAATGGGCTTAGCTACGGATGATGCTCGGACAGACAGACGCCTTTATGGCTTCTCGGTCTTTATCAAAAACATCAGCACTTCCCACCATCCCACGGACAGATACACGCCTGACAGCTGCCCTCACACACATGCACTCATAACGTCACTTGATACACTCACTGATCGCTCTCACGACAAAGGGAGATGGAAAAACGGATCGATCACATACAGCCAGCCCACTACACCGGTACCCACAAGACGCACCTCATCGCTAGCTACCGCCCCTTCTGTGGCCGTTCTCAGTCTGTGGCCGCGAGGAGCTGGTCCACGAGTGTGTGGAACTCCTTCTGGCAGTCATGCATCACCCAATGACCTGCACAGCAACACCAACAGCAACCACACATGAGATCCATTCGACACACATAGACTCACAGATGCGTGTGGCAGCCATCCATCTCTGTGTGTGTATGAGTCCATCCATTTCTGTATGTATGTATGGTCTCTACCGTATTTACCTACCGGCGTTGTTGAATGCGACGGCCTGGCTGCCCTTGGGAGCCTTTTCCTTGAACCACTTGAGCACGGCCGGCGAGTGGTAGTTCATGAGGGCCTTGATGCCTTGCCCGCCGTACACAAACAGCACCGGGCACTTGGGCTCGGACCACTCACCATCTGACACACACATCGATGACACACACCGATGGATGGATGACACACAAACACCGCGCACAAGGTGGCCTGCCGGCCGGCCGGGGTGCCTTGCCGTGCCTTTCCTCCCTCCTCGCTGTCTGTCCATTCACCCCACACACATATGTATGTGCGTACCGACCGAAGGCATTATTGGCGCTGCCGAAGAGAACATGCTTCCAGAGGTAGAAGTAGGGGTAGGCCTGGGCGTACTGATAGGGGCTCTTGCGGTGCACAAACTGCAGCTTGACGTTGGGCGGGTGGAAGATCATGTTGATGAGTTTCCAGATGATGGTCAAGATGGTGTTCAGCACGCCGGCGACGAAGTGGCCGACGCTTCTGATGGGGATGGCTGCCTGGGCCAGGAAGACACACGCCAGTACCAGCGTGTAGAGGGGCTGCAGCAAGTAGCCGATGATCGACGGATGACTGCTGCGGAAGACGATCATGGGCGACGAGGGAAGGGCGGCGAAGTCGGGACCGATATCTGAGTGAGTGAATGGATGGGACGACCAACAGATAGACAGACGCACATACGATTGACAAACACTGAGTGAGTCAGACGGATGGACTGCAAAAAGCCGTACCGATGAGCACGAGTTTCTTGACGAGGTGGGGGTAGGCCTTCTCGAATGCCCTATATATCAAGCACCCAACCATCCATTCATCCATCCATTCATCCATCCATTTATCGTAATTAATGGCATAGCATGGGTCCCTACCTCGCATAGGCCGTGCCCCAGTCGTGCGCCACCACCACCATCGGAGCACCCGTAGGGTTGACGTCATCCACCGTGTTCTTGAGCATGTGCAGCATCTCCGGGAAGTCAAAGCCCCACGACCGATCAACCACCCCTCCGCAGTTGGGCAAAGTCACGCACACACACTGGTAGCGGCCCTGGTAGTGCTGCACTGCGTCGTCCCAGACACTCTCGTCGTCGGGGAACTGCATCCACACCGGAGGGACACACGGACAGTGGGATGGAAGGCACACGCGGCTGGCCTGTCTGTGTGTCCCTCATCTCACGCCGTGAATGAAAAAGATGATGGGTTTGGTGCGGTCACCCGTGACGCACGTCCTCATGAGGGTCTGCACAACAAGAGGAAACGCTCGGATCTGTCTCCAAGGCTGATGTGGTAGTCAAGTGCTTCCATCTCACCTTGCCGTTCTTCTCCAAGACGGCGGGGCTGCCGGCGCCAGACGCCATGCTTGGAATGGTCTGATATCGTAAGCCCCGGTTCAGATCAGCGGCTGCGAAGCATGTCAACAGATAGACCCACAGCGTTCCATGCGGCATGCGCGCAATTGGTTTCACGCAGACGCGAGCTCCTTGAAGCACGAACAGAACGCAAATCGCAGTGAGCATGGGCAACCAGCAGGGCACGTCGCTTGAGTCGCTGTCGGACACAAGCAATGGAAACATCACCGTCCGCCTGCGGAATGGCAAGACGATAGAGCTGTCAGAGATGGCGGCCGCGCACTTCTCCTCCTTCGATCCGGTTTGAAAAAACGAGCCGCAAGCGATGGCTTCTTCCGTTCACGTCTTCACGTCGTTTGTCTGCTTATTTGTGTGTGGTGTCATGGGCCCATGGATGGATGAGTCAGGTCATCGAAGGCCGTTTCATTGAGGGAGAGGCACGGGAGGTGACCATCCAGGACATCTCGCCAGCGACGGCCAAGCTGCTCCTCCTGAATACCACCAGATCTGGCCTCTTGCAGTGCCTCACGCATCAGAACTACCTCAAGGTGCTGCGTGGGCTGGATTTCCTGGGTCTCAAGGACATGGCCGAGGCAGAGAAGCTCTGGACAGACATCGCTAGACACATCTGCCGCATGGTACCTACAGTCAAAGCAGTGAGAAGCACAAACACAATGCATCACTGACACACGCTGCCCTCCTGCTCTGTGTGTGTGTTTATGTGAGTGTGTGCAGAACTGGCTGGCGGAGTTGGACGATTGCGTGGCGTTGGTCAAGACGCTCAGCTCCCTCTCCCGAGCCTATGTCCGGTTCATGGTCGATGTGGATCAGGTCCGCCACGCCATCGCCAAATACGCCGTGGAGGTGGCGCCCTGGCTGGCATCGATGGGCAAGAGCGATGAGCATCGCACCGCCGCCCTCCTCATCTGCCGCTCATTCAGTCGGATGCTCGCTCGCGGCCAGATCAGCATCGCAGAAGACCAGCTGGCGGACTTCCAGTCGGCACTGCTGCACGTGTTCGACTGTGAGAGTCTGACTGACCTGGTCAATCGGGCGACAGAGGGCGACTGGAAGACGTCAGGGTGTCACGGCATCCGGCTGGAGCGGACGGGGGACCCACTGGGCGGCACCAATGCCAACTACATGCCCTACGGATGTAAGTCTGCCTGGGGCAGGCAAGGAGAGGCAGGCGTCAGACAGCACACTGTAGCCTGCTTGCCATTTTGTGTGTGTCACGTTGTAGTGCCTGACATCGCCGTCAGCGCCACCACCGTCCCCCCGCAGGGCTACCCCGGACCGTCAGGCACAGTCGTCCAATCGCAGCGCGGCCGCCCGACGTGTGCCGCCAGTACCATTCAGCGCATCGAGGTGTCGGCCACCTACCTGTCCACGGCCAACACCCTGTGCGACGCCATCGAGGTGTCAACCAACATGGCGCCCGACATCCTGCAGGCCGTGGAGGACACGTGACCCGACGGCCAGGTGTGGGGTGAGGTGCTGGGCGTTTTCAGTGACTTGCCCGAGTGTGAGTACAACCTCGCCACTTTCCGCGTACGCATTGATGGGGGAGGAGAATGGGACGGACCTATGTATGGGGAAACATATACACACGTCTGTGTTTGTGTCTTGCTCGTCCGTGTAGCTTCCTGGCAACGTAGCTAATTTGCAGCCGCAGGACAGGCCGCAGCTCCTCCTGCAGGACCTCAAGCCTGTGTAAGTGCGGGCAGAGGAGGGAAAGGGGCCGCGTGTGTGCGTCGACCTGTCTGTGTGTCCGTCTGTGTGTATGTCAGGTTCACGATTCACACGAATGAGATGCTGGCGCTGCTCTTCCACCTCGTCCGGCTGGGCGTTGTGTACGCCAAGTACGACCTGCTGGCCGAGCTCTTCAAAGCCTTCTTCTCGGCACCGGCACAAGCACAGCTGGGCTCGGACAAGACCGAGCACCAGGTAGGTAGATCAAACACAAGGCCATTCGGTCTCAAGGCATGCTTGACGCGAACATCGGTGTGTGTCGTGTGTTTCAATGTTTCTGCAGACCAATATCTGCAACATCCTCATTCTCAACGTCTTCAGCAACACGTTCGCGTCGACTGCGGCCAACCCCTTTGCCTGCCTATCGGCGTGCATCAGCGACCTGCCCCCCACCATCTCGCCCCTCCCCACCCCGCCCTCGCTCTCAACCACCACGGCCGGCAGCATTCCCCCGCGCATCATCTTCTCCGCATCCACAGAGGTCTGGCTGAGGGATCCCGACGAGACCATCCGATTCGTAACCATGGTCGCCCCAAAGTTCTTCTCGTCAGTTGGTGCATTCAGTCACAAAGGCCCATGAAAGACAGACAATATGGATGCCAGCTGGGGGTCGGTCGTCATGTACATGTCTGTCTGTCTGTCTGTGTGTCTGTCAGTGCATATGACGCGGAGAGGATGGGCCAGTCGCTGATGTGTCACCCGTCGCTGCGTGGTCGGCTGTCTGCGTTGGTGGCCAAGGGGCTGGCGGCTGAGGAGCTCGACAAGACAGCCGAAAGGGGAGGGGATGGAGAGACAGCCGACGCAGACGAGGTAAGCCACACACACACTCTCTCTCGACAAGGTTGACAAAGGGAGATGGATAATGTGGTCTGTTTGGTGTGCGTGTCACACACAGGCAAGAGGGCGCAAGCGAAGGCGGCTGGAGTGACGCATGAGGGCGCGGCGCGGAGTGTGTAGCATAGAATCTTGGAGGCGCCTCTTGTCTTGCCTTGTTGTGTTGTTAGACAGATTCACGCCATAGATACCCTACTGATGACCCATTCTCTAGCCTGAGCGACCTCACCTCGCCAGCCGGCCCCTCGATTGACGCCTCTTGTATGTATGTAATTCGCACCTGTACAGACTCCAACCAACCAGGTACACCATTACTGACTGACGTGAATCGAATCTGCGTTCCATTTCTGACACGATTGCAATCACTGCACCACCTTTCTCTCGTGCAGCCATCATGCCATGCAACCCTCACCCTTGGCTGGCTGCACGTAGGTGTGCATGGCATGGCATGGCATGATGTGAGGTGTCGAACTGAAGGATTGACTGATACACAGCCCTTCACAAACGAGAATGCTGACGGAAACCGGGGCAGACAGTCTGGTGATGTATGTAGAGTTGATGTGTTCTGCGATGGGGTTATCGGCAGGCGGGATATGAGGTCAATTTTTCATCTCTGTAGCGTGAGAGAAATTCATCATCTTTCTGTTGTGCACCTTTCTCTCATAACACACAGTCTTCCTACACTATATCGCATCCATCCTCTTATGTCAGCCAGCCACCTCTTAGCGAGGCCCCTCTTAGGTGTCACCGAATACCCTTCCTCCCTCATGTGGCACATCCATCACATCCCCTTGACCAATTGAATTGCCACCTACCCACACAACCCCCCAGCTGACATCGAGCGGGGCAGTGCGTGCAGGCTGAAGCCCTTTCGCGCCGCACGCCAATTCACCACAACAGGCACATGCACACGGCCACATCCTCACTCACAGCCACCTTTCCCCCACGACACACTTACCTGCCGACAAATGCATGGCTGCCTTATCCACACGCAGCACAGCACAGCACAGCACAGCCGTCTACCTTATTTATCACCTTTCCGCAGATGCAACGAGCTGAGCACACGAGTCGATGCACAGAGAGAGAGAGACAGACAGACAGACAAACAGACAGGGAGAGAGAGAGGTGCGTGGAGTCGTGTGTGATGTGCGTCAAGACAGCCTTCACACCCAGGCGATGTGTGACGCACATCAGTCACTTTACTTCCTACCCAGTCCCCACCCCCTCCCACTCCTTACCCACCACCACACCCCTCCCGTGGGATGGCGTGTTGATTTATTCTCGCCGCGGATGCGTTTGGCGAGTTGGATGTCCTTGGGCATGACGGTCACTCGCTTGGCGTGGATGGCGCAGAGGTTGGAGTCCTCGAGCAGCCCGACCATGTGGGCCTCGCTGGCCTCCTGAAGGGCCAACACGGCCTGTGACTGGAAGCGGAGGTCCGTCTTGAAGTCCTGGGCAAGCTCCTTGACCAGACGCTGGAAGGGCAACTTGCGGAGCAGCAGTTCGGTGCTCTTCTGGTGCTTGCGGATCTCACGCAACGCCACCGTCCCGGGGCGGTAGCGGTGGGGCTTCTTGACACCGCCAGACACGGGGGCCGACTTCAAGTACTTCACCCACACAGCACAGACACTTTTCACGTACATTGTTGTGATTGGCACCTTTGTTCTCACCTTAGAGGCCAGCTGGTTGCGGGGCGCCTTGCCGCCCGTCGACTTCCTGGCGGTCTGCTTGGTCCGCGCCATCCCCTCTCTCAAGTCGACGAAGTCCCTCACGCACAGCACAGCACACCGCTCACTCACAGATATCACGCTAGCAGACAAACACTCGCAGACGACCGACGCCGCTCTCCCGGTGATCAGCTTGTGACGAGAAAGGAGCAACGAAGCGGCGTTTTCCACGCAGCCGTTGGCAACGGCTGAGGGAGGAGAAATAAAAGACCGATGTCTGACTGAGTAGGATAAATGTCAGAGTACAGAAAGGATGTCTGCTCATCATATGTAGTTCAATCTGTGCCACCATCACACAATGCACACACAATACGTTTCTTCGGCTTCTTGTTGCCCCTCCCCCCCTTTGAACGACACCTCCCCCACACACATCTCAATCGCATCACACCCACCAGGCCCCCCCGACCTACTGAGGACCACCGGCTTCTGACCCCTCACAGAAATCGACTGAGGGTATGGACTCACCTGCACATGTATGCCTCCCCTGTCAAATGGCATTCAACGGCAGGTATATATATGCCAATATATTTCATGCTAGCTTGATGAAGAAAGTCGTCACTCTGCAGTCAGGCACGCACCCTCGCACCCTCGCCTTCAGCTGCCGACCACCTGACCTCGCCGACATGTGTATTGGTCTCGGTCTCCCCCCTCCCCGGCATGACTAGGAAGTCCAGACGGAATTGCCCAGCCAGGTGATGTGCCGACACCTCCACCCGCCCCAGCGCATGCAGTCTGCCCAATGTCCCCTCCACCTCTCGGCCCATTGCGTCGGAGGTCGGCAGCTGTGTCTGCTCGGTAGAGTCAAGCAGCTCTGCTGCCTCGGACGTCGACAGCCCTCCTGACCAGCTGAAGGCCAGATCGCTCTCACAGCTCTCGATGCCTCGACGCTCAGACGTGAGCTTCTCCTGAAAGGCCTCGTAAGAGACAGCCACATAGAGAGCCCGCTCGAGCGACGCGAGAGACAGAGAGTCCTCGACGGACTGGCTCTCGTCGCTGCCTCGCCGGAGCTGCCATTTGCATGCTGCGAGTGCCGTCATCCACTTGGCGGCTTCCCAGCCGTGCAGGCCGCTCCACTGATACAGCTGGCGCAGGGGGCCCCAGACGCCCTCGTAGGCAGCAGCAGAGAGCTTCGGGGCTACGTGTCTCGGCTGGAAGCGGATTTGCAGCATTGCTCCCAGTAGCAAGGGATGGGTGTGCTGGGCCATGGCCATTGCAAAAGCCAGGTTGCCCCACAGCTGCAGCTGACTGCCCATTTCTCGATGGTCACCGGACGTCCCTCCACTCACATGATCGACACACTGGCGGACAGCACTCTCGATGCCGTGCAGCAGATGGGGGAACGTTGGCACCAGGTCAAGCCGCGCGTATGTCGACGCCACGATAGCCAGCTGACTGGGAGAAAGTGATGAGACCCTTTCAGGAAGCCCCAAACGAGCAGCAACGAGAGCAAACAGGGACGGCCGTCTGTGGCCGGCCACACCCAGGGAGGACACGAGGCTGAGGAGATCGTGGGAGGACGGGTGGCGTGATCGTTGGATGCGGGTCTCGCAGCAGCCGAGGAGCCACTCGTTGAAGCTCGCCAGCTCCCCTCTTGGGAACGTTGCGACGGCAGGGGAGGAGAACGCATGGATTAGAGCAGCAAGGTGGCGAAGCTCCAACTGAGCAGAAGAAAGAAAGGCATACAGATGGACATGCCCTGAGGTAGGTATCTGTGAGCTGCATGTGGGCGCGGCGCACCTACCTCTGTTTCAAGCCTATAGACGCGTTTGGCTAAGGCCTGAGCAACCTCTGAAGGCACGAGCGACTGCAGCTTGGCACAGGCGTCGAAGAAGTTGGCGCAGTCCTGGGCGTTGAAGCGCATCACAGCCCCAGTCCGGTGCAGATGGTGGTGGACCCACGTCATAAAGGACGGCCGATGGTAACCCAGCTTAGAGAAGGCGTAGATCAGCAGCACCAGATTGCGGGGCAGGTCGTCGCCTGATGGCAGCCAGGAAGCAACACGACACGACGCACACACATCCCCCCTGTGATCTCCGGCAGACGGACATGACATGCAGTGAGTGTAGTGTTTCTATCGACCTTCAAACAGCTGAGGAGCACGGTCCGAGATGGCGCCGAGCAACTCTTTGTCACGGTAAGGCAGCAGTGACAAATTGTGCACCAAATTCGCCGCCTCAAACGCCCGCAACCCCCCGACCATTGAAGTCGCACCCACTACCATCGCACCCACGACGCCGCGCAAGGACTCATCGGCCGGCCTGTAGACAGCCGGCATGCGGCTGATGCCCCCGATCAAGCTGACGATGTCGTGCACATTGAACCTGTCGCTGAGGTTGCGGGAAGCCTCGCACATCCACTGGATGGTGTGTCGGAGGGCCGCAAGGTCGATGGATGGAGGCGGGTCGGAGGGGAGCAGGCGAGATGCGGCGAGGAGGGCCATAGAGAGGCTGCGGGGACAGACGCTCTCTGGGACTGCGGGGAGCCTCTCAAGCAGAGAGGGGACAACCACAGCGTCGAAGTAACCCTGCGCACACAAAGCCACCAGACACACAGATTCAATCACGTTTCGTATGTTCCATTCATTCATCGCCCTTGCCCACTGACTCACCGCCTTGCTGTAGCTCGTCAAGAAGGACGCAGCAGCCAGCGGTTGCACTGCTCCAATGGCACTATCCACAGTCAGACTGTGCCGCTGCCACACCGCCTCCCGCCCCCTGAATGATCCGTGTCGAGCAAAATCGGCCAGCGTGTTGCGGAGGGCAGCGATGGTATCATCGATATCGAAGTGCTCGGCCTCCAGCCCTCGAAAGACCCGCCCATCGCCGCCCCATGGACGAGGCTTGCTGACGCGCCGAGGGATCAATGCGCTCTGATTGAGGCGCACTCTTGTGTACCCCTTGGTGGTGACGGCCATCACTCATAGATCTGCCACCAGGTAAGCAGCGGTTTCAGCAGGTGCGAGCTTGAACGCAGACATTGCCTTTTTCTCTCTTTCTGATGAAGATCTGGTACACCTTGGCGAGGGGCTCGCCCTTTTTGTCCTTCGAAATGAAGATCTGGTACATCATCGCTGCGGCACTGCTGTTGGTGGTCAAAGGTCGCGGGCAGGAGGTGACGCTGCGCGAGAACATCACAGGTGCGCCGAAGGCATGCATGGATGCTGGAGCAGGCCGGATGATGCATGCCATTTCTATGATCCGTCTTTTGTTCCCCATGGATTTGCCCCATACGTAGCTGACACCACTTGGACGGCTGACAATGTGTATGTGCTGGCGGAGCAAGTCTTCGTCAAGGAGTCCGCCACACTCACCATCGAAGCAGGTCGGGCAGGGCAGGGCAGAACATCCATCGGCAGATGGATGAGCACACCTCGATCTCAGGCGCTGCATGCCACCTCACTGACCTGTGTGCCTCCCTCCCTCAGGTGTGATCATCAGGGCCAACCGACTAGGGAGCAGAGGGTAAACAAAAGGAAGGAAGAATACGATGCATGTCACGTCACGGCCGATGCCCGTCATTTGTGCTGGTCTGGTGCAAATCTACGGTAGGTATGCCCCGGCGCTGATCATCGAGCCTGGTGGGAAGATCAGGGCGATGGGTACGGTGTCGGATCCAATCACCTTCACATCGAACCAGGAGGAGAGCGTCCTGCCCGCCAGAGGACTCTGGGGCGGACTCATCATACTCGGCAGGTCCGTCGTGACAGACATACCTTCCATGTGTGGTGTGTGGATGATAAGCTTATGTCTGTCTGTCTGTCTGTCTGATGGATGGATGGATGGATGGATGGATGGCTGCAGGGCCCCCACCAACATGGGCGACAGGGATGTGATCGAGGGAGTGCCCAACGTCAGGTTCGGCGGGGATGACCCTTCTGACAGCAGCGGAGAGCTGCACTATGTCAGGGTGTGGTACGGCGGCGCTGGTACGCAGTCGTCAACGGAAGGCTCAGCTGTCAGTCCCATTCTCTGTTTGTGTTCACCAGAGTTGGGTGAGGGGAACGAGATCAACGGCATCACATTTGGTGGTGTGGGCAGCGGGACCAAAGTCGACCACATCGAAGTGGCCTACAACCTCGACGACGGACTCGAGGTGACACCGAACGAGAACAAAACTTTGTCCGATGGATAGACACACCTTGAGGCTCTTTGTCTCCCGGTCGGTCGTTCAGTTCTTTGGCGGCACCGTGGACTTCAAGTACGCGTCGGTGCTGTGTGTGGGTGACGACGGCATCGATACCGACGAAGGCTACCAGGGCCGCGGGCAGTTCATTCTGGTCGTCTTGTGTAAGGACGGCAAGACGGGCAGCCAGGTGCTCATCGACCATGCATTCGAGGTGAGAACCAGGACCGGCAGACACATCCACGGGGTGCACTGGTGTTGCTGGATGTCGTGTGCGTATTAGATGGATAACAACGATGAAATCGGTTACGCTGCCCAGCCGCGGACACACCCAATCATATCCCATGTAAGGAGGACATGAACGGCAACAGCGAGTGAAGCACAAGCAGAGTGTCTGCGTGCGTCTCTTTCACCTCTGTGTGTAGGCGACATTGCTGGGCCCCGGCAGTGCCGAGGCCGAGTGCGAGCGGAATGTCAAGCACCGTCGGATGATCCACTTTCGCGAGGGCATCGGCGGGCAGTTTCTGAACACTATCATACAGGACAGCCCCGCTGCAGTCTACTTTGAGCACTTCGAGGCCTCCGGAGCCGCTAACTTCACCCAGGTAGCCGGCCACAGGCCACAACGAGGAGGACAGGTGTGGATGGGAGGATTGCTGCCACGTTGGTTTCAGGAGTCGCCTCAATCGTACAGCGTCCGCCATCCCGACTACCTGGTACACCTTCCACAAGATCCAAGGACGGCTCACCGCATGATGGATGCATTTTGTGTGGTTTCTTGCTTCCTTCCTTGATCGGTGCAGTACTTCAGTCCGCTCAACGTCATGTGGCGTATCGACTCGCCCATCTACGAGGACGGCGACTACACACCGCAGCCCACATACCTTTCAGAAGACCCACAACTGGCAAACGTATCCACATATTTGCATGAGAATAATGCCGCAGACACCCACAGCTGATCCTTGATGTGATGCGAATGTTGGCTGATCTGATCGATCAGGCTGACCCGTGCATCGACGGTCGGGAGGACGCTCGCGGAGGTGGTTTTGACCCTAGACCACGAGTGGGCGGGGCTGCATACAGGTGCCAACACGCAAATAGGTGTACGAATGCGGCCAGGCCAGCTACGATACGAGATGGGCATGGCATGTGCATGTCTGTTTGTGTTGTGCATCCTCCCTCCACCCAGGAACATCGACCGCACCCTGCCCAACGATGGCTTCTTCGATATCGTCGACTACAAAGGTAGGGAGGTAGGTAGGTGGGCTGGCTGGGCTGGCTGATGAATCATATCATGCCACACCGCCATATAGCCTTACTGTCGTGTGTGCGCGTCCCTTGGCTGGCCACCAGGTGCCTTTGGTCAGGAGCTGTGGCTGCGGGGCTGGAGCTGGTGGGACGAAATGGTACGGAAGGGTGCGTGGCATGTGAGGGGGCGAGGGGGACACGACCATGATTCGTGTGTTCACTGTCCATGTGTTGTTCAGGGCAAGCTGCCCAAGATCGAGGACGACGTAGAGCAGGAGGTGGCAGCGAGGGAAGCTGATGCTACCGCTGACGCAACACACCGGGGGGCCCTGTCGACGGCCGCCATCATGGCTGGCGTGCTGGCACTGCTCTTGGTGCGGTGAGATCTCTCTCTCTCTCTCTCTCTCTGTGGGAGTATTAAGTGCATGAATGAGTGAGTAGGCCTCTTTCTCGTAGGTAGGTGTGAAGGTTTTTGTAGGTATCGATAGCTGCATACACATGGTACGGTGAGGTGAGAACTGATGCTCCCCTCCTCGCCCGCTCTCTCTGCCTTTATCGGCTGTGCGTGAATGTGTGTGTGTGCTGTGCTGACGTGTGTACGGTGCAGTGCATGGTGCATCGTGTCTGGGATGACTTATCTGCTCCCATCGCTCCCTCCCTCCCTCCCTCCCTCCCTTGACTGACTCTTTGGCTGTCTAGCAGAGGGTTTTGTAGTCAGTGTGTCCGTCCATGTGTGTGTTGATACTAGTAATGGGGAAACGACTAGTGGCTCCTTTCTGTGTCGCTCGCTGTGTTGGTCGAGTGGTACTAGTCTTTCCCTGCGGTGGACAGGTGGACATGCCCGCGCTTTCTCTTTGGCCTAAACGATTTTGCCATCCAGCCATGCGTCGTTGTGTGATGGCATCCAGGCTCGGCAGGCGAAGTGGACTGGGGCAGGGAGGGGCGCGTGGCCATGTCGGACGGAGACAGACAGACAGACAGGGTTTACTAGTCAATGCGACCTCTCCTCTCTTGATGGGCTGTTTCCTGTGGCTTGTGCCGTTGCTGGACTGGGTTGCGATCGTAGACGGGTGCAGCCTGACCGCCAGCATCAAATCTACGGTCGCAAACGGGTCGCCAACGGCATACACCCGCCAGGCATGGCTGCTGCAGATAGCAGACAACCAGTCCGACCTTTTGTTGGGGCGGATGGATCGATGTGCGGGAGAGATCCTGAGTGCGGTGATTGATGCGTCCGTGATGCATGCAAGTATCGGTTCACGCATGTAGGCCGACTTTCTTGCGCACACGTGCACGACATGACTGACATCTGCGACGCTTTGTCCACTCCGGCAGGCAGGCAGGCAGGCACACCATTGGAAGGTGGCTTGTCCGGCGCTGCATTGCCATGCCGTTTGTCTTGGTCCCTTTATTAGCCACTCACTCCTCGCGTTTTTCGAGGAGGTTTTCTAGTAGGCAGGCACATACCATACCTACCCATACAGACAGCCTTACACACACATGAGGGGAGCCGTGCGGCGTTCGTTCGTTCATGTGTGTCCAATACATGCCCCCCTCTATGGTATGGACACTGGTGCGTGCGTGAGCATATGATATGCCAAGCATCAGCAAGGTCACTCAAAGGGCCTCACGTACGCTATCTCATGCGACCTAATCAATCTGTACAAACAGGGGCGGGCAAGTCTGGATGCATGGATCGGATCATTCAGACGAACGACTCATACTTGGTCATCAGTCTCCACCTGCCCAACGGCAGCCGCGACACATCAACCTTCCCTGCACACACACACCACACAGCAGCTCGTTCCACATCTGGAGGCTCTGTGCAAGTGATTCTCCGTCCCTTCCTCCCTCCCTGAGGTCTGTCTGTCTCTCCCCTACCAATTCGCACCCGATGCACCCGCTCCACCTCCAGGCCAACCATCGCACACATCCTCCGCACCTACACAGCCACAACGACCAGACCGGTGGTTGTCTTGTCTTAACGGCCGAGCCAGGCCAGCACCACACCCCGCCCACCGACCTGTCTTGGTCTGTCTTCCTTGAGAATGAAGCGCAGCAGGGCGCTCGGCCATTCATCGACCACCGCCGCCTCATCCAATGCATCGGACGAGACGGATAGCGCCCCATCGGATCGAATCATCATTTCATCTCCAGCAGCCTTCCTCTGATCGTCATCATCGGCCGGATGTCCTGTCCTTTGGTGATCTTCAGATGAGAGCTGGGACGCTGTCTCTTGTCCTTCCCCACTGGCGGCCTTGTCATCTTTTCTGGGCTGTTGGGTTCTTGTCTTACTGTGTCGGCGTGACACCATGACCTGGTCGACTTGGCAGGGCAGCAGGTCGATGCCGTCCATGGTCAGACCGTGACGCAGGAGACCCAACACCTGCACACATGACATGACGGACAGCAGCATGGACGACGAAATGGGCGTCGGTCGGTCCTTATGTTCTCCGTCCGCTGCCTCACTGACCGACCTGTCCGTCCAGTCTCCCCCTGACCTGCACGTGGTACTCCCGCTCCACCTGCACACCACCATGACGGCCGGACAACAGCGACACCACACGGCCATCCTGATACACACACACACAAATGCGCACTTTTTCACTCACCGCAGGAATGTTCGCTCCTGTGTGGTGCGTGCTGTGCCATGCCACGGACCTGTGTGAAGACGACGAGTCCAGTGGTGTCCGCGTCGAGCTGGTCGGTGGGGTGCAGTTTGCGGCACTTGGCGAGGTCGATGCGGCTGGAGCATGACACGTGCCGGTTGGCCGCCGTCAACAGACGACGGGAGGGGGGCGCTGTGGAAGACGCAGCAGCCTGATCAGACACACAGAATAAATGAGAACGAAAGATGAACCAATGATGATGATGGATGCCCGCGTCTTACTCTCACTTACGTAAGTAAGGTAGTGGAGTGGTTTGTTGAGCAGCACCGTCACCTTGCTGGCCTGCACCCGCTGCGCACGGGGAAGCAGCTGCACCTCAGCGTCCCTCTCGACCCACACACCGCCGCCGCCAACTGCAGTGCCACCGCCCCGGTCCACCACTTTGCCGTCCACCGACACCAGGCCCAGGGCGATGAATTCCTTAGCCTCATTGACGCCACAGAGGCCGCGATCTGCGCACAGATGCACCAGGCGCACCAGGGAGGACCGCAACGCTGCCGTCAGCTCCATCAATGAATCAATCAAAAGAAAGCAGCTTCTCAGCGCTTCCTACTCATCGGGGCTGCTGGCGATCTCTGTGTTGTGCCAAAAGGAGCCGAAACAAAGTGGGGGGAGTGTCACGCGATGAGAGAGAGCGGTTAAGGGTTTCGGGTTTCGAGAAACCCTGCGAGCTTGGAAAGAGAACCCTGGCAGAGGGAAGCTATGCATTCATCGCGGAAAGGGCATCAGGACTTAGATCAGTTATGCATCGTCCATCTTCAGCGCACATCTGTCCACCCTCGGCCTCTCCCGAGAGGGAATCGGTGACTGGACAAGATCACCATGAGCTGAGGAGGAGAGCGTCACGCTGCTGCCCTTATCGTCTCCTGGTCGTCGTGATGGGGTGGTTTCTGTCGATGCTGTCACCAACGAGAGCCATTCGGGCGCCGATGCATTGCCAAATGGCTTCATCGATCTCTGCATTGGCGAGACCACCAGATCCATCAGCAATGGCTTTTGCCGGCCGCGTCAGGCGGTCGCCCGTCTGTTTTGGGATCCCTCCACTGGCGCATGGCCGACGGACGACTGCCCTGTCACGTTATGGACTCTCCTTGCCGGCAGAGCCATCCTCCTCATGGCTCCCCCTCACGGCTCAATCAGCCGCGGCAGAGTCCACCTCAGCCTCCAGACCGCCCTTTGTGATCATCGACGCGGCGGGCATGATTGTGCGGTCCTACTGGGCGCTCAAGGACCTGCGGACGACGGCAGAGGTGCCGACGGGGGCCGTTTACGGGCTGGCTCAGTCGGTGCTGAAGCTGGTGCGGCACTACAAGCCGCACCACATGGTGGCGGTGTTGGAGGGCGAGGACTCACACAGAGAGAGGAAGGAGATATACCCCGACTACAAGAAGGACCGCGACGCACAGCCAGAAGACCTCACCGTGCAGTTCCCTCTGGCACTCAAGCTGCTCGACCTCGCGGGCATCCCCACCATTGGCTCGGACGAGCTTATAGGCGTCAAGTACGAGGGATGGGAGGCCGACGACGTCATTGGCACCCTTACCAAGAAGCTGCTGGACCAGTGGGACGAACAAGACCTCTCTAGCGTGATATCGTCGATCCTCATTCTGTCGTCGGACAAGGACCTGTGGCAGGTGCTCGTCAACGACCGCGTCAAGTGCCTGCTGCCGCACAGGCCTGCAGGGGGGAGGGGGTGGAAGGCGGGAGGGCCCTACCAGTACTCGATGACCCGCGAGAGGCTGCGGCGGGAGCTGGGCATCGAGCCGCACCAGGTGCCCGACTACCTGGCGCTCGTGGGGGATTCCGTCGACTCTGTGGAGGGCGTCAAGGGCGTGGGGCCCAAGACGGCACAGAAACTGCTGCAACAACACGGCAACCTCGAGGTGAGTCAGTGCAGGGTGTCAGTCAGAGGGGAAAGGGGACGCGACAAACGTATGACCTTTTCTCTCTGTCTCTCTGTGTGTGTGGCTCTCTCTCCAGGGTGTGTTGGAGCACGGGCGATACGACCCCCATGTGAGCCGTAAGGTGCGTTTGGAGCTGAGGACCATCCGGCAAGACGATGCCAGGATGGCCCAGTGCCGCCGCACCCTGCAGACGACCACCCTCAACACCTCTTTGCCCATCTCCTCCTCTCTCACCGACTACCTCATCCGCCCTCCTCAGGCCCAGGAGCTGTCGCAGCTGCTGGACGAGCTCGAGATGAAGGGAACCAAGAGGCAGTTCGTCGAAGTGGGAATGCTGCCGCCGACGCCAAGGATCGGCAATGCGGCGCCAGCATCAGCCGACAGCTCAGTCGCGGCGCCCATCTCGATGCAGACGAGGGGATTTGCGAGTCTCTCGCGGCAGCACCCCGTGGTGCCGCCTCTCACCGTCCCCACCGACCATGTGACCCACGCGCCTTCAGTGCGGGAGGCCGCCCCTTCCCTCAACGGATGGCCAGATGCGGCCGCCAACCGCCAGTCGGCCCCTGAAGACGTCATGGAGGATACAGGCGAAGAAGGTTCTTCCCTGTCATCCTTGATGCGTGCTGTGGAGGAGAGCGACCCATCCGCTGTGTCCTTTTCGGACGATGCGGCCGTATTGGAGGATGGTATGCTATCGCCTGTGGCGTCAATCCTCATGAGCGAGGCGCTTGTCGGCAAGCCGCCGTCGACCCGCCAGCGCAAGAGCAGCAAACCGGCCGCAGCGGCTCCCAGCCTCCCTCTCAAGTACCCGCCGGATGTGGACCGCCTGCACATCAACATATCCTTTCCGCTGCCCACACCATCAGGCCGCATCTGCCATGTGTCGCTGTCACCGGCCCTCCTGTCGTCATCTGGTGGACCCATTGCGTCCTCATTGGCGGCCGCTTTGTCTGGTCCGTCGACCCTCTGGGTGAGTGACGACATCAAGAGCGTCCTGCATGGGCTCAAGGCCATGGGCATGCCGCCTCTGCCGGCCGACCGGTGCTTCGACGTCAGTGTGGCGGCCTGGCTTCTGGAGCCCGACCTGCATCGGCAGCCCCTCGCACAGCTCATGGCCACATACCTCCCCGACTCTCCCACCACTGACGCCCCTGACGCCCCCGACCCCTCCACGTCTCTGATCCCTCTGTGGCGCGCTCTCGAGAGTCGCCTGAGAGATGCGGTGCTGTGGTCCCTGTGGGAGAGATTAGAGCGGCCACTGATCCCGGTGCTGGCTGCCATGGAGCAGAGAGGGATGCCCCTCAACGTGACTGTCCTCCAGAGGCTCGAGGGGCGAAAGGAGGGCGGTGGGGAAGGAGGAGAGGGCAGCGCGGCGGACGTCATCGAGGGGGAGCTGCACGAGCTTGCCGGTCGCGAGTTCAACCCGAGGTCGCCCGCACAAGTGGGGCAGGTGCTGTTTGATGACTTCGGGATGCCCTCGGTGCGTCTCAAGCAGGCCAACGCGCCCAAGACAGACAAGTCCACGTCTGTGTATGCGCTCAAGGAGCTGCAAAAGAGGCTGCAGGAGGAAGTGGATGCCAGGGGAAAGGGTGAGGTGCGGGATACTGAGGCCGGGGAGGGGGTGGTGAAGAACAAGACGGACGAGGAGATACATCGAGCCATTAGGTCAGTGAGATAGCCGACACACGCCCCCAGCTGAGCACACAGAAAGGCATGCGGTACGGTACCTACCTTCATGTGCTGCCCTTCCCTCCCTTGGTCTGTCTGTCAGGTTCATTGACCTGATTTTGGATCACCGCGACATCTCCAAGCAGGACAGCGGCTTCGTGGTGCCTCTTCAGCGTCACGTCTCCAACACCACCCACAGGATACACTGCTCCTTCCTACAGACCGGCACAGGCACCGGGCGGCTCGCATGTGAGCGGCCAAACCTGCAGCAGATCCCCCCCAACGTCCGCCAGGCCTTCTCCCTCACACACGACGCGGGTGGCAACGACTCGTCATCCGACCCCTTGGTCTATGTGGCTGTGGATTATCGTCAGATGGAGATCGACATCCTGGCGCGGCTGAGTCTCGACACCTCCCTCCTGGCGGCCATCCAGACCGGCGACGTCCATCGCGAGACCGCCTCGCGACTCTTCGGCGTGCCCATTGACCAGGTGACCCCCCAGCAGCGCGATGAGGCTAAGAAGGTTACCTACGGCATCCTCTATGGCCAGACGGCCGACGGGCTGGCGCAACAGGCCATGATGGACCGCGCCGCCGCCAAGGCGCACATCGAGCGATTCTTCGAGGCCTTCCCGCGTGTGCGGCAGCTGTTTGAGTTTTGCAAGTACCAGGTGCGGACGGAGGGATGCGTGAGCACGATAGGCGGCCGCAAGCGGTTCTTCCCCGACATGGTGTCGGCGAGAGGCGCCAAGGATGGCGAGAAGAGGAAGCGGGTGACCAACAGGCCGCGGGTGGACCGGCAGGCGAGCAACATGGTCATCCAGGGCAGCGCGGCCGACGTCATGAAGTTCGCCACCCTCCGGGTCGCTGACGCGCTACGTGAACATCCGGCCCTCGACGCCAACCTGGTGCTCAACCTCCACGACGAGCTGCTGATCGAGGTGAGGAGGTCGCACATCGACATGCTGCGCGAGCTTATCTCCCCGCTGCTGACCAACGCATGGGACGACATGATGGCCGGCATGCAGCTGCCCCTTTACCCGTTCCACCAGCACCTGGCCGCATACAGCCCCATCAACAACGCCACGCCTCTCCCCGGAAAGGGCAAGGGGAGGATGGTGGTGGTGCCTGTGGCCCCGATCGAGCCCGCTGGGACGGTTTTGCCGGCCTATCTCCCCCCGCTGCGCGTCAAGTGGGCCGAGGGCGTTGATTGGGGTGCGTGTGACGAATGAGCAGGGCTGCAATGGAAGGCGCCCTGCTGTGTCAGCTGAGCGGCCGGGTGTTCGGGTGTTAGGTCATGAGTAGACGAGCCTTGACGGCGATAGCCTAGGCAGACGTATGTATTTGTCAGCTTTCGCGTGTGGCATTCATTCACGCGGATGTGCAGTTGCGTGTGTGATGTTATGTGGCAGTCAGTGCCTATGTGTCACTTATCATTGAATGGTGTACAGCCTGCTTGACCGTCTTCAGTAGCTAGTAGAAGCCACCACTCATTCAGTCATGACCATCCGTCCACTCACACATACACCACGACTAGGTAGGTGCTCATATCATCCCGTGCACGCTGCTGCCATGAGCCACCCCGCATGATGAACAGAGTAGCTCATCTAAAAGGGTGGACAAGCTCCCCTGCTCCCACAGGGCTGTCTGTCGCGTCAAGCAACACGCACACGAGAGAGGCAGCCAGCCAGCCAGTAGCCAGCGGAAGCAGATAAGCAGATTCCGCGTCCTTTCTCTTCCCATCCCTATCGTGTCTGTCTGCCTGTTGTTGGATTCACCTGTCTGAGGTGGGCCGAGCACGACTGAGCTCATCAGGATGCAGCCCTCAGCATCTCGATGGGCTTTGCTGTCCTCGGCCCACCACAGGTCAAACCAAGACACAGACAAGGCACGGACTAACATCTCAGCCAGAAGATACACATACATACCAATCGACACGGTATACAGAGGGACGTACAAAACAGGAGAAGCCCCTACCCACCCGTGCTCCGCTTCCCTCCCATCCTCCCTCCCCCATCCCCCATACCCCCCAGACAGTGTGACGTTTTCGCCATACGGTACGCTGACCGGCCGCCGGATAGATGACAATAGCTATGCTACACTTATGAATATAGACAGGTGTCTTGTCTTGTCTTGTCTTGAACACAAGGGTGAAGCAGAGCTTCCACGCAAAACCTGACACAACAGACACGCCACACCGAAAAGGAGCTTGATAAGAAGAGCCCACACCAGATGCCACCCACCCTCTGCTCACCTTGTGATATACGCCGAGGTGCGGGCTAGTCACTCTCGGTGTGCGGCATTTCCTTCCTCCTCCCACTCCGTGTCCGCCGGCACCTCCTGGCCATTGTCCCGCAGATACTCGACCAGCGACGCATGAATGGGCGGGTCGTCCCTCTTGATCCTCTTGAGCAGGTACAAGAAGTCGGCCCTCGTGTTGATCGAGCTCACACACTGCTCCCACCGCTTGGCCTGCCCGTCGTCAGCCTTGCCCTGACGTGAAGGTGTCAACGGGCCGCCTTGGTCTAGCTGGGCCATCAGAGACCGCGTGGCGCCCTCCTCCTGCATGAGGGTCTGCAGCAGCGACATGGTGGCCCCGTGGACGGCACTGGGCGGCCGCTGCGGGCTACTCGCCGCTTGGCCGTCGGTCTGCTTGACGGGTGCTGGCTGTTTGGGCTGTGGGGGGGTGACCGCCGGCCGCTTCTGAGACCGGCCCGCGTCGCCGCTGCCTTGTGTGTGGGGGCGTTTGATGCCGCTGGCGGCTGGCTGGCGGTGGTTGTTGTTGTCCACCTCCGGCATGGGCGAGATGGAGATCTTGGAGCTCCTGGCCAGCTTGTTGGCGTGACGCTGCTGGGGCCTGCCGGGGGGTGCGCTGCGATTGGTGTCGGGCGAGGAGGCCGCTGCTGACGGGGAGGGGGTGAGGTTCCCTAGCGCAGGAGGGGTCGCCGCGTGACGCTTCGAACCTACACGCAAAACGGATACACCACACCACACCGTCACAACGCTGGCCATGCCATCTCTTGCCTGTCGTCCCTCCTCACCTGTGGGCCCTCCATGCTCTGAGAGAGGCACTGGGGGAAACCCAAAGCCGCGAGTGTCACGCGACGCCCCTGTCGCGGTGCCCGTCACCGATGCACCGCCCCCCACCACCCCATCGACAGTCCGTGGCAATAGCCCTGGCAGAATGATCGGCATTTTGGAGGGCTTCCAAACCGTGGGGGACTCCGCCTTGTTGCTCCCGTTGTGCTTCTGGGATGAACCTGAGAGTGAGGAGAGAAGGGACAGCCCCGGGTGAGTGATCATGTACTGCACATCCTGTCTGACCTCCGGCTCACCTGACGTATCATCTTTCGGCCCTTCCGCCACATCACTGCTCTGCCCCTGCCATGGCGGGCGGAGCAGACGCGGCGGAAACGGCTTGATCACTGCCGGATACTGGGAAGAAACCGATGAGCCCGAGGTGGTCTGGTCATCAGAAGCCCTAAGGTGTGCGGTGGCTGCAACATCTCCAGACGTGGCCGCTTCCGCCATGAGACGCAGCCTAGGGCGCAGAGCGCCGAATTGGCAACACACAGCAAGGAAAAGGCACCTGCTGTTTCTCTAAACCTACCGCACCTCGCCAAGCAGCGCGCTCAGAACTGCGAGCTCCCCATCTTCCGGCGCATTCGCCAGAACTCAACGCAGACCATTGTATTCACGGCCACGAGGAAGCCTTTAGACTGGTTGTCCCATTGGCGTTTTCGAATTCCGTGATCTCATCAAGATCTGCCACATGGCACCGCTTCTGAATGGAGATTATGCAGCAAGGTGACGAAGAATCGCCGGCAGAGATGATTCGGCTCCTCTACTCCATCATCAAGGGGGCGCTTTCAATGATCCTCAGCCCGCCAGGGCTCATTCTCGCTGTCTTCCTCGCAATGATCTTTCCTGCTAACCCATTCCACGCCCCTGGGGCCCCTCCCCGCCCCATCCACAGGCACTCTCGGCTCATGCTGCTGCCATCAGAGGTGCCGCCTGTTCCTGTTGACCCGCCAGCCATCGTCCAGCCGGCAGACATCACGAGGGCCTCTGAAGGTGCTGAAGGCCCCGGTGGGAATGTGGCGCTGTCGCCTCGTTCATGGCAGCCGCTGAACTTCCGGACGACAGCTCTGGAGAGGTGGCTGCGTGAGCTGCTGGACCTGTCGGACGCTGATCTGGACATGGGCCAGGTGACGCTGCGGGAGACGCTTGATGATCTGCGGAAGGCTGATATCATCCCTGATGTGATCCCTGAGTTTGAGCCTGACCGCTGGGTGCGGGTGAGGTTTGACCTGAACACCGGCTTCGTGGGGCGGCAACTGTCGGTGCCTGTGGAATTCGGCAACGAGATCAGCATGACAGGTAGGTGGGTCACACAGCACAGCCACCATGGTGCTCGAACAGCTAGCTACCCATGCATACGCTGGACGGATGGGTGCTGCCTGAACTTCCTTCCCTTCAGATGCTGAGCGGTCTCCAGGTCTCTTGTTGGACAAGCCGCCACCTGAAGGGTCATCGTATGTGCTGCTCCTAACGGACCCGGTAAGACGATTGATTCTCTGCACATCCGCTGGCTCATTCTTTCGGCGTCATTTCTGCTTTCCTTGTCCGTGTGCCATGGCGCAGGATGCCCCATCAAGTACGGAAGCCGTTCTCAAATGAGATGAGAGGACGGGCGTGCGCGTTGGTCATGCTGGTTGGCTCATGTGTGTCAGGGGAGAATCCCAAGTACAGGGAGTTCCTTCACTGGGCTGTGTCCAACATCAGAGGTCTGTGTAAATCTGCGCACACAGCTGTGTGTCCCTACCTGATGCAGACGTTTTGGTGTGTGTTCGGTGCAGGTGTGTCCCTCGGCCAAGGCACCATCATCGAGACGCCATACGTGCCGCCAAGGACACCGCCGAAGACAGGGCCACACAGGTCAGTCAGTCAACACAAGCTTCATCGATGCATCGAGTGCATGGCTCTGTTGGTTGCTTCTTTGCCCATGCATCCATCCATCAGGTACGTGTTTGTGTTATACGAGAAGAAGGACGACAGCCCACCGCTGCTGCCACTGCCGCGGTCGAGGAACCGCATAAACTTCAAAGTGAGTGAGACTCATCCAGCGACATTATCTCATGCGTGTTGTCGATGTGTGTGTCCTGGTTGCTGTCGGCAGGCCCATGAGTGGGCGTCGTCTCAGGGGCTGGAGCTAAGAGGCGCTAACTTCTTCATCGGAAAGAACCAATTCCAGTAGACAGACAGACAAACAGACATCGTGGCTGTAGGCATGTCGATACATGCATGTGGACGCACGTGAGCAGGCTTTAGTAGGTAGAGATGGTATTCGCCGGTCATATTATTGGCCCAGACACACACAAACACACTCCACCAGCCCCTGTTTACAACGCGATCGTAAATCATGTTGCCGCTGTTCCAGTGCCTGCATATGAAACCCCTCGTGCCATGGCTCTTCTTTGTTGCTTGGGCCACCAGGACAGCCGCAAAGCTGCTTCCCTCGCCACCCCCCGACGATGAGGGCGTGACGTGCGACTCGCCCATTGTCAAGGGCTCAGTGCAATGGCTCAACCACACGGCCTTCCCTTATTTCTTTGACGTGGCGACGGTCAGCTCGGCGAACTTCTCTTTGTGTCGGCAGTGGAATGGGCAGCCCGATTGCTGCAGGCCTCGATTCATCGCCTCCCTGGCTGTCCGTGTCAACATTGCTGCTGGTGCGCCACAACAAACAAGAACGGGATGGCCCATTGTGTGCTGTGCTCTTCTTTTCCTCAGTGTTGATCAGTGAGCTGGGTTTGGATCTCACAAGGACGGCTCGCGGCTTGTCTTCTGAGTTTGGCAGCTCTTTCGCCCACCTGTTTGAGGACCTCCACAACTGCACCCGTGGCCTTCTGCAGTTCTACACGGGGGTGTCATGCTCATTCTGCGACCCACAAGTAAGCATGTGGATGGTGCAAGCAGCGCAACCGGCCGCCGGTAATGTGTGCGTGTGTGCGGATGTGTGTGATGGGTGCAGTATCGGTCTTATGTGGACGTGGAGGTGCCTTCTACTGGTGCGTCGGGCAGCAATGAGGGCAGGAGAGTGCATGTGGCCGTAGCTGTCAAAGAAGAAAACTGCGTCTGGCTGTGGGGCCAGTGCAAGGCTACCATGGACAAGGCACACAAGCTCGGTTTCCTCCTCAACGAGCACCAGCTGATGCGCGAGATCCCTTCCACTCGACACCACTTCTGCTCGGCTCTCGCACACTTCAAGCAGACGTCCAGGCAATGGTCCAAGCTGGCCACATCCCTCCATCAGCGGCTCTACCGCTCACTCGACGCGTACAGGGCCATCAAGAGCACTCCGTCGCCAACTGCAGCACCGCCAACCACCCCAATCGCCGCATTGCGCGATGGAAGTGACCGGCTGGAGGTCATCAGACGCATGCTGAGCGAGAGCGGTATGGGTGACGGTGGGGCGGCCACAGTGTCTGGTTTGCCTTCTGGCAGCGTGACGATGTTTGACGCACTGCCCTTCAACGACCTGCCTTTCGCGCCGGTGCGGTTTGTCCTGCATGGGGGCCTCGGTGAGACACATCATCGGAGGGACTTTGTATGTATCGCAACTAATTAGGTGTCGTCGTGTTGTTTTTGTTGTCAGATGCAGTCGAGGAGGGGGCCTTTGCCGGCATACCAGATGTGGATGGACGACACGAGTGAAGTGCATGGTGGTCGATAATGTGCAGTGGATGGACGGATCGAGGGAGGCAGACGGCCCACCGGTGCATTGTGGGCGTACAGTCTGTACATACGTGACTAGGGAATGAATTGGGTGATCTCGGTTCGCATCGCAAAACATCCATCACTGGGGTGGACTTTTCACAAAAGGGTCTTTTTGCTTCCACGACGTATAACAAAATGGCGTCCCATCCCTCGTCCCACGTGTGTGGATGGTTCCCCCCTCGCCTCTTCTCTCTCGCGCGTTGAGAACACGACACTAGAAACGTGCAGCAGTGAGTATGGACACACGGATCATGGCACATTCGGTCGGGGCCAAGGCAGGAAAATGTGAAATCCCTCGATCCTCCACTTGGTGGTAAGAAAGATGGACAGACAGACAGATAGACAGAGAGATGGCTCGATGGACGGATGGAAATGCAGCATGCTAGACAGTGACACACCCTCACACACGTGCTTACAATACACGCGCTGAGGGCCCTGAGAGAGAGTGTGGCGAAGAAGGAGCCGAGCCGTACCAGAAAATGGGTTGGTTGATGGGTGTGTGATGTGGGCGTTGTAAAATCGGCACACACACACACACACACACACGGACTCACGGAATGTGTCTGTCTGTACAGGAGACAGGAAAAAGGGAGCCCCACGCAGCCCTCTTGCCCTTTGCCATCCAAGCTTTATACACACACTACACCACGTGCAACCATCGGAAAACTGGTGAGCGGAAAACGTCCCACGCACTGAGCCGCAGGGCGTCAAAACTGCCCGACACGCAGGGCAAAACCTCGCCACTAACAGCACACGCAAAAAGGTACAAACAGACGGGCGATGCGCAATCGTTTTTGCAGCCTTGTTGGTGACTGCAAAACGAAAACAGCCCGCTCTTGACGCATGCCACCAAGCAGGCGAATCAATCATCAGCCAGATCGACGCACCACACGACCCATACAGAGAAAGGCAGCTGCGCGTCGCGCCAAAAAACACCAGTGTAGCAGCCAACCGAGCAGCTTACCCCAACACACAGACACAAACACGCACTCACACACACAGCCACAAGTATTCATGCCTCCCCCCTGTTAATGGATGGATGCCGCCGAGCAGCGGTCCAAATGCGACAGCACCTTCACTGCATGTCGCCTCTTCCCGGAGCACAGGCAACCACCGCGGCGATGATGGATAATCGTCGCACTGACTGTATGCGCCACGAGGAAGGAGCGACATGCAGGGAGATACTAGATAGGACACCAAAACACGATGAGATTCCCTCCCTCCCAACCCACCCCACCCCAACTCTCGTCAAGACTTACGTGCTCACACGAAACGCCTTTGCACTGCACAGCCCCCCATTGCAATGCAGACATGCCAGACAGACACAGCCCCCCATGCAATCACTGACTGACTCACAGCCACCAGCCATCCCCCTGCACCGCACCGCGCAGTACCCACTGCACGAGATTGGTGACCACCACGAGCACCACCACCATCCACAGGGGGCACTCACGGCTGATGCATGCCGCCGACTTGCGATTGGCTGTGCGGGAGGCGCTGGGTGCGCTTCTGGGCGAGCTCGGGGCGGACCCGCACTGCATCATGGGGTGTGGCAGCAAAGGTACATCGCCCTCTGAAGAGTAACAACAACGGAGTACAACAACCCTCATGCCAGCCAGCCAGCCATCCACGTCATGTGTATGCCACCCGCGTCACTCACTTGCCACGACGCCCGCCCGCGCCTCCTGCAAACAACGCACTGAGACGAAGGCAACAGGAACAACAGAGGAGTCAATCCACATGTGCACCGCACCATTGCCACACCACAGCTATGCATCCATCGCACCTACCTTTGGTGGCAGCACAGTGAGCCCATCCGCGTTTCTCGGCCTCCATGTACTCCTGCTCGGTGGCGCTGATCTGCGGCACCGGCACGTCCCGCTCCTTGGCGAGGGCCAGCGTGAGCCGCAGGTCCTTGCGCAGCAGCTTGACGGTGAAGGCCGGCGGGCAGGCGTCAGAGTCCATACGACGGCTGAACCAGTAGTGCGGAAGGCCTGACAACACAGGCAGACAGACAGACAGGCAGACAGACATCGACGTGCCTGTGCCTGTGCCATGCGTGTGTTGTCTGCCTGTCTGTCTGTCCAGTGTAGTTACCCACCCCCCACCGTGAATGTCGCCGGCATTCTGGCCGAAGGCGCCCAGACGCAGAGCTGCATCCATCCACACGGAGCTCACATATGAATGCATCCGTCGATCAGCCAGCCGGCTTTGTATTGTGTCATGTGTTGTTGTGCGTACCATCCCAAATGGTGTTGAGTGGGATGCCGGCTGCGAGGCCCAGAGTGACGCCCTCAGACACGGCCTGCACCGCTACTGCATTCACTGCGTTGTGGATCTGACACACACACACACCCAACCAACCACCGAACCACCACAACATATACGCAGACCATCTCCCCCCCTCCCATTTCCCTGACGGACGGACCAGTTTGCATTCGGTGCCCTTGCCGATGCTCCCGCAGTAGAGGACGTTATCGGCCATGAGGGCGAGTAGATGGTGCACTCTATGGAAGGTGTCGATGTTGCCCGAGGCCAGCACCGCCAGGCCCATCCCATAGATGCTCGTCGCCCCCACAGGGCAGTCGTTGAAGGGGGCGTCCAGCATCTCGCCGCCCCTCGCCTCAATCGCCCCACACAATCTGTGAACCATCGCTGTCGAATTAGTGCTGCACATCAAAGGAAGAAAAGGAGAAGGCACAGCGATCTGGCAGACGTTTGTTGTGCCCACGTGATGTCGACGTATATCTTCCCGGGCGCAATGGCGCGTAGGATGCCCGTATCTTCATCGAGGACGGCCTTGGACACGTCGGCAGGGGTGGGCAGCGAGGTGAAGATGACGTCGCTGGAAGCAGCACACTCGTAGCATCCGGCGGTCAGCTTGGCGCCGATGGCCTTCGTTTCGGCCATCCTGGTGGCGCTGATGTCATATACACAAACCGCATAGCCTGCGATAGATAAGCCATCATAAAATGAAATACCGGACATTGCAACACAACAGGCATACGGACCATTCTCGAGGAAATTCTCCACATGACGGCCGCCGATGGTGCCGCAACCTGCACAAACACACACACGCAGAAAACTCAACAGCAGTGACCAGTCTGATGACAGAATTTTGCGGCATTTTGTTACCGATGAATCCGATAGTGGGCCTCCATGTGCTCTGTTCGTCTATGCAGTCGTCCAATGAGCAGTCGATGCTCAGGCAGTGTGCCTCCTTGACCACCTCCTTGCCCATCCTGCCGGCTGCAAGAGGTCACCTCAAAGGGACAAGAAAACTGCAGGAAAACTCATCGGCGGACAATGGCTGTCAAGGGCACTAAGAGAGGGCATGAGGAGCGACGGGGAAAGGTGCCACTCTTTGCGAGCTTCTGTGTCTCTCTGCGAGCTTAGCCACCCGTAGGGGATAGCGTGCCTGGTCTCTCCATCACACTCATCCATGGCTCATGCATGTGGCAAGGGAGATCCATCCATCCATGATCCATCGGGCAATGCAGTCAGTGAGTCTCGCTGGCTGAGGAAGGTGGTGTTGGGAAGGCACGCGGGGCACAAAAACGGCGCTCGATGTATCCAATGCAATACATCAATACAATACAATAGAATACGATGCAATACAATACAAGCAGGCAGCGACACACAGCGTGTTGTGTGCGCACATGGGCAGAGTTGGTTGGGGTCTTTGTGTGTGTGAGTGAGTTGGTGAATGAACCTCTCTGAGTGAGTGAGTCTGTACGTACGTGACGATACAAGCGGACACCATATGTACAGATGCATGTATACCGCCGGATGCCACCCCATCACATACACATACACACACATCCATTGCATCCATCCATCCGGCCATCCATCCCACCTACACACACACATGCATCTCAGAGGTGGGCTGGCTGATATACAAGGAGGGAAGAGACAAGGGCAAGCTGGGTCCCTGAATCCCGGCCTGCCCCCGTTGCTTCAGGGTGGGTGTCTACAATACAATACATGGTTCATCCACTGTCTGTCTGTCGCATCACACATGCAATCAATGCAGGACAAGCAGCCAGCGATAGGCAGATAGTGTTTTGCTTTGTTGTGTGGTGTGCAAGCTGATGGGTGGGTGGGTGGGCCTCTCTGAGTGGCCAAAACAGAAAAGGCTGCCAATTCGCTATACATAAGACAGGGCAGGGGAATCCATCCATCCAGCCAGCCAGCCATCCATGCATTCATCGAGGCGAGGCGAGGCGAGGCGAGGCAGCACATTCCAGCTAACACCTGATTGACATACAACACGCCCGCAGAGAGAGACCGATGAGACGGTGACCGCACACACCACACCACACCACACCATCCATGTCATCTGTTCCTTCTCACCGGTCAGTCGCCGCCCGCTTGTGTGTGTGTGTGGTTCATTGCCAGTCCCGCTGGCCCAGCCGCGGCAAGTGGGCATCGTTGCTTCACTTGGCCAGCACAGTATTCAGCACTCCCTGAATCGACGAAACAGAAACGCGTGAGTGGTGGGTGGCGGGTGTTGGTTGGGGGGTGGGAGTGGGTGTGGGTACCGTTCGCATGGCCGGAATCATTTGGACAGCGAGAAGAACAGCGACACACACTGACGAATATAAAGTGTAGGCAGCAATATGTGGCATCGCCACATCGGCAGCGAGCTCCGTCCAGGGGTGTAGGTGAGGTTAGCGGCACACTTGACCAACTTGGCGATGGGCACCTGCTCCTCCCTGATCGTGCTCGCCATCTTGCTCGCGATCAACAAACACGTGTAACCGATCTGCAGGACATACACACACACACTGGAGCCATGCATTGGGGGACTTCTCTGTGTGGACAGTCAGTCAGTCAGACGCACCGGCAGGTAGTGGTGCGCCGAGAGTGCCTTGCCCTGCTTGGCCATGTGGTGCATGTAGCGGTCCATCAGATGCACAGCGAACGTGGTGGTCCCTTCCTTCACCTGTGTGTGCACCATCACAATACAATACACCCCCGGGGCCATCCAAGGGTGTTGTGAGTGTGTGATGGGAGAGGGGGGGGGGGGGGGGGGTTG